CAGGAGGACATGTGTGATTTGAATTGCTGCAGAAAGGCTCCATTTAATGTGTGCTCTGCCACTAATCATTTGACCAAACAAAGGCTATTGTTTGCCATCTTCCCAACGTGTGTAGTTTGTACAGACTGCTGAACACGTCAGAGACATTTGATCGGTGGTACTTTGGAGATCAGCCACATTGCAGATCATTGAATTGGGTCGGTTGAAATCATTGGTATTTATTTGGAATAACATCTAGCATGACACAGCATTTCCTGCTATGATTAAACACGGTTTTGCTTTATTGTTATTTCACATTAGTATCTAAGATATCCACAGTGGTCACGGTTTCCCCAGTTAATCCAAACATGCAAACAAAATGAAACACATTCTTTTTTCTGGACCCATGGGCCTCACTGAAGCTCATGTTCAGCCTGTGAAGAGTTTTTATTAACTCAACGCTTGCTCTCTTCCCCCTCTGTTTAGGTCCATGGTCAATGTTGACTATACACATCGGCAGTAATTGAAGCGCATTTAATCCCCCCGGGGGAGTAGAGATAAGGGTGGTGCAAAGAACTTCCTGTCCTGGGTTCAACATTCTTGAGGTCAAAAGAAGTCAGTCCAGGGTTCAGTGCTTTGGCGCAGCTGCTTGATAAGTTCACCATGTATATTTTTTGTATTTCCCGTCTCAATACTGTTCCTTTGTCCCCCCTCGTCTGTCTCTGCGTCCCTCTGCACAGACACACTCCACGCGAAGGCGTGCAGCAGCTCCACAACAATGAAACCCAATGGCGGAAGTTCCCCGGGTCTTTATAAAGTAAGTCATAGTAAAGACTTAAATCTTTAAAAACAACGTTTTGCGGAGAGATTGTGTCCTCGGCTGTCTGAGCCTGTGCCAGTGCGCACACACAGAAAGCATGTCACGTAGAGGTGTGAGAGCACAGCGACTGAGATCGCACGGCAGGGAGGCATTTCCACGCCAACCAACGCCCTCCACTGGAATCTCCAAACAGCTCCAGCGTTGCTTTTCTTCTCTTTGCACACAAAACTCAAAGGAGGCTCGGCATGGCTTGTCTTTGCCCCTTCCTAATTATTGGATATTACATGCATCGGCCCCATCTATCACAATGACACTCTCGACAGACCAGCCCGAGACGCTCAACACACCCGAGGGCGTGTCTCTCCAGGGAGCGTCAGGTGGGTTCACTGTACCTGCCTTTTTTTATATGTTATGCAAGCAAAAGACACTGCAAGCCCCAACATGGAGAGTTCACCAAACCTGCAGCTAATACTAAGACAAGAGGACAGTAAACCTCGTGGTAAAACCAGAAGAAATAACTGGAAGCACACCCTTTATTGTACGGGCGCCAACCGGAAGGGTTTGGCCCAATTCACCCAAAGACACACGACTGACCTAATCGTTTTCTTCTTGTAAACAGCGTTTGCGTGTAGATTTCGGTTGTTGATGAGATGTGAATCTTTCTGGGAGATTTAAGGACTTACAGAAGCGTCATTTGTCATGTTAATACCCGTCTGTCATGCACTGCAGATTATCCCCCAGCATCTTTGTGTCTAAGCCATTCTGTCTGTCTGCATTGTCCATTCAGTCTAAAAGCTGCGAGTAAATATGCACTTGAATGTTTGCCTTCTGCACTGAAAAACTCTGTGGGTCGCCGTCTCCTGCGAATGGGAATTTGTCATTAACGCACGTGCAACACACACCGGAGTGACATCTGGAACGTAAAACAGACGCAGGTGAACTCCCACGTCTAGTGATTCACAGTGAGAGTGGGACATCTGACACACACATGTGATATGATTTCCAGACACTGGCCCTGACGTCATACTCTCAGTACACGGGGGGGTAAATAAAAAAACAACAGCGCCGTGTCAGTCGGCTTCCACACGGCTGTTGACTTTAATGCTTTACTAACTTCTGATCCTGAGGTAACAAATCACATAAAAGTGGACTCTTGGACTATGAAATCATCGTGAGCACATCTGTAAGGATTAGTCTTTTAGGTGATACTGTCTACATCTCTATGATTAACTCTCTCTTAACACGGACTGTTATCTTAGTTCAGCTGTCTTTTGACGGTCAGAAGAGGTGAATCACTCACCGCAGAGTGAAAGCTCGATTACGCCACATGTCTAAGGTTTATTCACACACACAAACACACCCTGGCCACACCTGAATTGGTTGTTAGGGAGGGACAGGCTTCATTGAATGATAATAACCAGCAATATCAGACAATCTGACTGTACAACGGCTGACTGGTTTCTGTTGGCCTGCACCCATGTTTTCTGCACACGCAGCATAAAAAGCATTGACTGAGTGACAGATGTTTAAAGGTTGCAGTTAAATAGAGCAGTGATGGGTTCTTAGTTTATTTTTTACCTTTCAGACAATTGAGAAGCAGGAGAAAGAAGAAAGGTCAATTTATTATTCATCAGCTGTTGTGCAACACGTTGAAAGGTAAACCAATTGCATGCTGAAGCTTCATTTAAGGCATATACCCGGTCTTTTGTTTTTGGGGTGATTTAAAAATCCTGTGTTTAACTTCACAAAAATGACAAAATAAAAGACAATTAAAAAAAAGCAAAAATAGAATATTGAATAATTGAATAATGCAAACGCTGCATTGAGAAGAAAGCGATGCCGTTGCTGCGGTCTGCCAGCAGGGGGCAGCAGCGTGCAACTCAGGGCTCTGCACGATGTGCATCCTGGGGCCTTTTCCTGATCCCACATGTTAACATGTTATTAAGTGCGCAGGAATGGCTGTCTGCCCATCAGCTGCGCATTGTTGAATATGTTAAATATCACAGCAAACGTTATCTCCGTTGTATTGCGTCACAATTGTGCGGTTATGTTTTTTTTAATGAATAATCTCAAAAAAAGGAAAATAATTCAAGTGTCAAATAGTTCAAATCAAATGTCGTCACTTGCAGATCTTGGAGAAAGTAACACAAATTAAGTGGGCATGACTTAACCCCAATAAAAAAATGTTACATTTAAAATAAAATGTAATAGCACATTATGGCCAGGAGGGCGAAGCAGTGCTAAACAAGTACACGATGTACACATATACGTGTATTTATAGGCCCAAACCATGTAAATCACACCTGACCAAAGCTGAACTCTTTGTTTTTTTCCAGAAAATTTATATTTATACCAGAAGGACTTTTTTATGATTCAAATTTTGTGTAAGAACACAGACCATGTTCATAATTTAAGACACTTGTGTCCAAGTGAATTCAGAGTGATACTAGAACTGCAAAACAAGTAACGAGGGACTCATTAAGTGTTTTCAAACTAAATGTCATTCAAATAAATGTAATTTGATTTGAATAATATGTCTTGTGAAAACAGGTTGATGATGGTGGAATTATATTATATAATATTCAGTGGAATAATGGAAAGAGATTGTAAAATATTTAAGCAAATATTATTTGCTGATGAAAATGCATATCACAGCATATCTAATGTGTTGCTATGAAGAATGGAACCAAACAGTGCACACTCAATAAGTAATGGCTTTATTGATAGGTTATACATTATTCATTAAGGCAAGGCTGTGGATTGCCAGGCTGTCATTCAAATTTGTCCCTCTCAGCATAACTTTGTGTTTTATTTGTATTGTCATTCTTCAGTTCGTTGGACCTGTTCCAAACCCCGTGGTACCACAAGTCGTGCATTCAAAACGTTAGTCAAGTAGGAGTACTAAGATTAGTTTTACAAAATAAGAATATACAGAAGTTAACATGTGCTATTACACTGGATTGTACTTTTAGATCATAATTATGAATGTGTTCAATCACTCTTATGTAAAAGCAGAGCTCATTTGAATTACTTCATACATACCGGATGACTTCAAATATGATAATATACAATATTTTAGTAGTTGATTTATGATTTGTTTTAATGATCTGAATCAGTCACCACTTGCTAATGATTGCAAGTGGTGACTTAGCAGACAAATGGAAATACAAGTAAAGCACAACTAACCTTCAAATTCTACTTGAGTAAATTGTTACTTGACGTTATTGCCACCAGGATACACAATGATGAGGAAGTAGAAATGATTAACAAAGCTGTAACCAAGCCGACAACAAGAAAACACACGGTGGATTCACTCCTTTAACGGGCCCAGGCGGAGGATTGATGTGGTGACGAGCTGCTACAGAGTCGCTATCTGGTAATCATTCACCTGGTGGTGGCTTAAGGTAGAGGGGGCGGGGCCAGAGCCAATCCCCGCCCCCTCTACCCCCCGTTGATAGTTTAGAATCACGGTATTTCTCATGTATGTGTCATTTATAATACGTTAGGTCGATGGATCTTTCGACCTAACGAATGTTTACAAAAACAACAACCACGCAGAGAAGAATGAAAACACCGGTTGGGTTTGATTTCATTAGCTTCCAAATATACTTAATAGTTGAATGTCCTGCAATAAGAACACGGATGCATCAGTTTGTTGATTCAAACAACAAACACAGGCCATAACATTTGACTAATATTAGAAGGAACTTTAATAAGGTTGTATTTGTTTCCCTTCCAGTGGCCGACTTGTTCTCTTGAGAGGAACCATTTGCCTTTCAAATCGGTCCCCTGCGGATCACAGGTGCTGCATATCCGGTTGGAGTGAGCCTTACAGGCAGGTGTGTCTACCTGTGGACCCGTCGGGAACCCCCCCCCCCTCCCTCCCTCCCTCCCATACGTCTCTCCTGTCCCGGCTGCCTGCGCGGAGACACCGGCTGACCCGGAGCGTTCGCCTCACTGCGGCTCCGCCGTCCTTCCCGACATAACGTGGGAAGCGCGTCCCTGTGTCGGTGCGCGTTGTGGCGGACGGCAGGAAGCGCCTCCTGACGATGAAGAGGTGCGTCTCGTTTCCACTCCGGTGACAGACTGCGCACGGCTCTTTCACCGCCCGGATCCGAGGAGGAGGGGGAGGAGGGGGGAGGCAGTGGGGGGCATATTGACGCATTGTGGAGTCGACAGTGTGTGCGGAGGGGAAGGGAGGCGGGGGGGACAGAGTAGGGGGGCCAGCACTGCAAAAGCCCGGCTTCGCGACACGACGGAAGGCAACGCTATCTGCCGGTGGAACCGCGATGGCCGTGGTGCAGCTCGACGCGGAGGACCGACAACCGGAGAACGGCTTCGTGTCCCCCGAAACCGCGTCGCAGGAGCTGCTGACGCGCATCGACGGCTCCGTGCTGCCGTTCCTCGGGGGATTTGGGAGGTACCAGAAACAGCTGATCGTGCTGACATGGATCCCGGCGTTGTTCATTGGATTCAGCCAGTACTCTAACAATTTCCTCCTCGCCCAGCCGAACAACACATGCATCCAGCCGCTGGCCAACCTGACTAATCACGCCGCCGGCCGCTCCTCGTGGTCGGACGGTCCCAAAAACAGCAGCGACGGCGCGCGGCCGGCTTCGCTTTATGACGACGGGAGTTACGGCAGCCACAATGACACGTCCGGCATGCAGTGCGCCTGCAGCGAGTGGTCGTTCGAGCTGCACACGGGGCTGGCACAGAACGTGGTCACCAAGGTGAGCGCTCCGCTCCGGGGGGGTTGGGTGGGGTGGGGGCATCCTTCCCATCATTTTGTACGTGTTATGCATGCGCGACACCCCACACCCGCCCTAACGCAAACACGCATACAAACATCTGGACCCGTATGGAATGACGTAGCCACCATTTGACAGCGCCCGGGTTGTGTTTGTGCCTCCATTGAGCCGCGCATTTCTCCCCAGGGGGGGGTTTTTAGCACTGAGCCCTCATGTCTTTTCTGGGGGGGGGGGGGGCAGTGGGACCGCATGTGTGAGCGCGTGCGTCCTGTTGTTGCCAGTGGGTGAGTGGAATTGAGGCATCGCAGCAGCTGACACAGAGTGTGACCTGTGGCGGGAGAGACCCCACCACTGGCACGCGGGGAATAAACGGTGCCGGGACGGTGGAATCCTGCCGGTTTGTCGTAATGGACCTAATAGACACGGAGCCCCTTTCTCATATGGAGCAAAGGTCACTGGTGCGCTCCCATCCCTGGCTAAACAACCCCCGCCCGGTCGCTGCCCTGACCAAACATGGGTGGCATGCGCTTAAGGAGCTCATTCTGGGCATTTTAGGTGCTAATGTGAACGTTTTACCGCCACGTGCCACCATTGTCTTGTGACGTGCTTCCTATCCGGCCAAGGAGACTGATTCGCTAAGCCCACAGTCATCACAGTGGAGAATTAAAGAACATGCGTATCATCTCTTCTCCTATATCAAGTTATCCAGTTTGATTTCTTTTAGGGAAGCATGACAGCGGATCCACAGAGCTCTCTGAGTAAAATGGCCATCAGTATTGATGAGACGATGTGATTACATCTTGAGAACAAAGACTCTTATCACAGCGGAGGACAATTGGGACTAATATATTGATGCACACCCTTTTAGAGGACAGCCAATTGCATTCTAATCTGCAGCATAGCCATCTGTAAAGACTTCGGCATGCATGCTTTAATCAAAAGGCTCATCGGGACGAGTCTGATCTCAGTCGCACTTCGTAAGCGTCTCTGTGCTGCAGGCCGAGCTCGTGTCCACTCTGATGCCAACAGCCCATCTGCTCGCCGCTGATAATGTCTCTGTTGGCAATAAAGCACATGAAATGCAACTGTGGCATTCTAATTCAGCCAGGGGGACAGTTTAAGTCTTGATTTCATTTACTGGCCTCTGGGTTTTTTGGGGGGTGGGAGGTTACATGAAATACTCTCGACCTGATTAGGGAGTCACGTTGGGGAAATCGACTGGGTGGAACTTTGGTACCTGACAATCCAGAAATGTCAGTTCTCTCATGGGAGAAAAAGGTTTTGAAGGGTTCTCATCCTGCTGGTTCTGACCTCCTAGATACTATTATTTGTATCGCGCATGCACATAGAGAATGTCATGTTGACACTGCCACCAGATAAGTGACATGACGGAGCAGTTGGTAGAAGTGTCTCGTCTTCCCGGCCTGCGCCATCCACACTCTGACAAAGTGGAGGGAAATGGAACCAGATGGCTCGGGGTCGAACCCCGATGTGGAGCCAGAAATGAAGCGGATTCGACGACCCCGCTCTTCTCCGTTAAAGGACACGCCCCTCGCACTTCCAAGGCCTCTTTCCCACACCGGCAGCACGGAGAGCAGGATGTGACACCTCAGCAGGAAGGGATGACTTGGCGTTTCTCCTCGTTGTTTGCGTTGCATAAGCATAACTGCACATCGGCCCAGCTCTCTGTGACAGTCTGTCCCTGAAAAGCACGGCGAAAGGTCAACAACGTCAAAATGTGCTGGCGTCTCTGTCAAAATGTACCAACACATTGTGACCCCGCGTTACTCGCTTAACCCTTTGGCGTCTCACGAGGAAAGGCTCGCCTAATGTTGTCACCTTGTGCCACATCGGGGTTTTCTCCCTGGAATCAGTAGCACATCGCAGCTCCTGCTTTTCTCCTCGAGGCGTCGGAGAGAGGGAGGGAGGGAGGGCTTCCACGAAGGAGGTTGAGGTCGAGGTGGTGGTGAAAGAGCCAACGTGGTTAACGTGGAGACCCGTACTAATTGAGTCAAAGTTCTCCTTGGGGTCTGTCTTAATTGGACCGAGCCATGGAATGGAGAGAGCATCATTACTCAGAGACAGAGTCTCTCTGCGACCTCCTCAACTCCCATTGAGCTGGGCAGCAGCTGCACGCGCCCGACTAAAATAGTGGCCTAGGAACAGGTTGAGAGCAACGGGTTACGTGTACCCACATTCCCTGTTGGAGTTTGTGTATCCGCTTGGGAAGTTTTGGGATTGATGATCATTTTAAGATCTTGTAAAACGGCACTCTGGCCGGTACAAGACTACGACTCCGTCAGGCGTTTGAACTAGTTTTAATGTAGCACGCGTCATGTGAAAGATGGTAAAGGTTCAGAAATAAATGATGTTTCACAGATTGCTTTAGTTGGACCGATTAACAGTCTAAAACCAGTTTAAATTATTAGGATTACCCTGAGAGAAGCAGCAAATCCTCAGATTTAAACCAGCATTTGCACATGTGGCTAAATAAATTACCATCAATAATAGTCCATTAAAAAAATCGTTAACAATCTAATTCCTGTTGATTTGTTACGATTAATCAATTGTGAATGATTTTTCAATTGATTGACCGATTCCTTTTAAAGCCGAAAGGCTCTTGTTCTTTCTTGGATGTAATCGTAAACTCTTTCGTATTTACAGCTTAAGTTGTACCTTTTTGAGATATGGCGATGTACATTTTAAAGTACTTTTTATATACCCAACAAGTAATGACCTAATGAAGAAAAGGAATTGGTGGATTGGCAAATGATCCTTAGTTTCAGCCCCAGTTTAGTGACTAATGGAGTACTTTCCCAGTAGGGCTGTACCCGTTCTATTTTCTTGTTGTCCAGGTCTGAGTATTGTCTCACAGCGATAAGGACTATCTGCTGCAGCAGCACGTTGGCGGGTCCACCCAGACCCCGTATCACCTCGCTGGAGGCTGTGCACCCTTTTGATCTGGAAGACGATACCGTAGCTCGACACCCACGCGGGCCTCTCTAGCGCTGTGTCCCTTCACACTGTTTACCCAGCTGGTTGGCTCCGTCCACAGACCCCGGATCAGTGTGGGACACGTTGAAACGGACTCAGCTGTCGAAAGGCGATGTCCCCACTACAGATGCCCAGTCAGCACACAATGACAGCCACTCACAGCGTCAGCTGGGGGCGGAAAGACGCTCCTGCCGGCCGAAGATAAAGCTCCGCGGAGGCGCTACGTACATGTGTCTTTGTGTGACACGAGTGTGCGCTGCTGGCTTGTTTGTGATGCGTTCTCTGGAGGGGAGGGGGGGAGCTCGTGGGGTGTCTGACCCCCGTGACCCCCTTGGCTGTAGTGCTAGTTTATTTTGAGGGCTGTGTGATGGAATTCAGGTTGTAGGGAGTGTTCAGTTAAAGGCTGTCTTCGGTGACTGTGTACTTATGCTTCTCAACTGTCGACAAAATGAGGCAATGAAGGATTGATGGATGAGAAGAGGACAAACATGCTAGTGTTTTTCGTTTGTCCGGATGCTACGGCAGTTATTTGAGACGTGGTTACACCTGCAGTAGATAACGTACACTGTAAGACCCTCGGGCTACGTCAACCTTCAATTCTTTTAAATACAAAACTGCCGTGAAGAGAGTTCACCCATTTGTTCTTTTGCCTTCCCTCTTGTTTTCCACCTTCCACGGGGCTGAAACCTGCACTTGGCTGCAGAAAGGGTCTGATACCACGCTGATGGTCTGTTGCTAGGCAGTAACTATGCAGCAGTCTCTCTCTCTCCATGCGTTTCTCCTCACAGCGGCTTTTAAAGCACCTCTTTAGCCTGTCGAACAAACCGGCATCCTCCTTTACTCCCTGTATTTCTCTCCTGGATTTCACACGTTCCGTTTGTGCGTTTTATTATCTTTATTCCGGCTGCTTTCCTCCCTCCCTCCCTCTGAGGCTCCTTCGTCTGTTCTCTCTCCTCTCACCAGCCCCCGTCTGCAGATCAACGAGTGCAGCACAGTGCCGCTGTCGTTGAGTGGGTTCTTCTGAGCTAATGAGCCTCGGTGGCGTAGACCGATCGTTGGTGGCCGCTCATTACGGAGAGGTCGACGGACACCCTGTGGATTTTATCCGATCCGCTTTTGGCCCTTCATTGTTCTGCCTGGTCTGTCGGCTTTCATAACCTCACTCTCACCACACCGACTTCCTGTCATTAGTCCTTGATGAGCAACACAATAGTTGGGGGGCAATCGACCGAGGTAATGGGGGTACAGCAGACGAGGACTGGTTTGCTTGGAGTTTTACGGAATGTCTTTGCTATATCTGACAGTCTGTCCAAGGTTTTTTTTCCCCACCTTTTCTTGTGCGGGTGTCTATTATGGATTGTGCCTGTGGAATAAAGCACAGTAATGATGCGTCAGTCATTGCATGCCTCTGCGCGCGTGGCTACACGTTTCCACATCACTCGCTGCTTTGTCTCCGGCACGTGACTTGGGATTTCTTGGTATTTTGCAAAGTCGGTCATTTGTCTGTGGTCACCCGCAGCCGTCTTGTTATCTACGGTCATCCAGTCCCTGAGTGAATGCAGACTCAGAGATTCATCACGTGTGTGCGCCGGTTGGTCACAGTCACCGTTTCAGTTTTTAAAACGCAGTTTGTTGCTAAGAGCGATTGCGCAACTGAAACTTGTTTGCCTTCCTCCTGATACCGATACTAGAAACCGCGAACGAGTGGCATGCCTCGATCATGTGATGGTCACTGTGGAGGACGTCACGAGAGGTTAGATCCCCTCACAGAAGAATTTTAAGAACAAGCCACACCCAGTTTTCGTGACATGCCGATATATCGCCTCGGTCTTTCCTCTGGAGCCCGATCGGCTTGAGGCGGAACGACACACCTGCCACGGCCACCGCGCCCCTAAATGTTTCCTCAGCGCCGGCCTCTGTGGGAGCCGACAGCTGGGCGCCATGTGGCGTCCCAGAGACCCCGAATGTCCACCTCCTCTCTGAATTGAATCTCGCGTTCCTCCTGGGATGACCTCGCCTAGGGTCATTAAACACAGATGTCCGCTGTAGCCACATTTCAGGTTCGGTTTGTTTGGGTGTTTGGGCGAGCGCCTCCTCCACAGGGCTCCTGCTGCCAGTGTGTTGGTCGCCACGAAAACAAACCTTCGTTCATGCAAAAGCAGGCTCATTGTGTGTAGTGCAGGAATCCCTCTGCTGAGAGTTGACTGTGATACGGTAGAGGCCGTCAGACATAAAAGGTCAAAGGAGAAACGTTAGCTTCTGTGCACTCTGTGGTTTTTGAGTGAGGAAATGATCGGCATGAATATAAATGATTCCCTAGATTAGCTAGAAATAAGTGACTGGTTGCATATAAGAAGGCTGTCGAGGAATGTGTTGCTTGTGGGTAACATTGAGTCTAATACTAATGCACAAAGTAAGATACTTGCTTTTAAGCAATTTCTCACATGGAACACACATTGGTTTCTGTTTTGAACAAAATGGCAGAAAACCGTAGAAAGAAACAGTTCTGATTTGTCCATTTTAGAGTAAATACAAGGAATAAATGACACAGAGTTTGTTTGTATAGTTGTTTCTTTCAGGCCCTAACATACATTTCCTGTAACTAATGCTCGTATCCATTTGTTTCTACAGTGGAGTCTTGTGTGTGACTCGGCATGGAAAGTCCACATCGCAAAGTTCTCCCTCCTGGTGGGATCCATCTTTGGGTACCTGACGTTCGGAATCCTCGCTGACTGGTAAGATCTTCTCGCACAACCTGACGCCTTTCATCCTTTTGTATATTACAGGTGTGCGAAAAGCATGTTCTCGTCGAAGGTGTAGAAGCTCCAAAGTAATTTCTGACCTTGTTCCCAAGGTTCGGCCGCCACCCGGTGCTGATCATATCGGTGCTGTTCATGCTGGTGTTCGGTCTGGCTGTGGCCTTCTCCGTCAACGTCCCCATGTTCAGCACCCTGCGCTTCTTTGAGGGCTTCTGTCTGGCAGGGATCACACTTTCCCTCTACGTCCTCAGTAAGTCTAAAAGCTCTCTACTAACCCTCGATGTTCACGTGTCGTTGGGCAAGACTCTTAACCCCCAGTCACTGTTTTGGACAGTTGAATGATGGCGTGTAGGGTGAAAGCGCTCTGAGTGGTCCGAAGTGCAGTCCAAATGACCATCTGCCACTGCAAAAAGACTTGTTCCCCTCGTGGTTAGCGCTGTCGCCCCACAGCAAGAAGCTCCTGGGTCTGAAACGGGAAGCACCTGGGCGGTTTCTGTGTTGTGTGTGTGTGTGTGTGTGTGTGTGTGTGTGTGTGTGTGTGTGTGTGTGTGTGTGTGTGTGTGTGTGTGTGTGTGTGTGTGTGTGTGTGTGTGTGTGTGTGTGTGTGTGTGTGTGTGTGTGTGTGTGTGTGTGTGTTCTCTGGCCCAGTTGCCTGTAGGTGTGTGAATGTCAGCCCTGCCATTGACCGGGGTTCAGTCCGTCTCTGGGATCGACTCCAGTCGCTGAAGACTGAACATCACTGGGCTCCCGTAGATTTAACCTTTGCGTGTTGAGAAATGCACATTTTGAAAGGTTATGATTGTAAACTTTTATTATTATTATTGGACAACCACTGTTTTTAATGTATTTATTCATTGCTCGGTTCCCCATTCACTTTATTGTTTTGCTAGTGAATTATTCTGTGGCAAACTCTAGTTTAACTTGACACTTTTTAAAGATTAGTTGTACCTTTGGTTTAACTTCCTTGCATTTCAGTTGTGTACAGTAATTTAGCTAAATTACCTGAAAAAACCTGACATTACCTGTTTGCCAAACTGGTTTGTTTCTGCTACGTTATGCACACACAGTTGTTTTGGTTGCACTGCACCTTTTCAGCTGCAGATTTTCTTGTTGTGGCTGATTAAATATTCCAACCTTGACTGAAAAGATATATGTAAAAGTCCTCATGCCTAATATCTGATAGCTCCTAAGGGAAAACAATTTCTGTGTTCTTTAAAACAAACCAAGATCTCCAAAGTGGTCTTGAGACCGGTGTGGAGACCTGAGCCGCTCAGTTATGAGTGAATTGGCTCTGCGTTGTGTGATCTATTTGTTAAAATGGAATAGAACAATTGCCACACATGCCACGCATTTGAACTGTTTTATCAAGATTTCTCACAAAACAATATGTATGACAGTAAAGAAATGAAAGCGGCTTCATGGGTGACGGAGTCTGAGGAGTGTTCAGTGCTCTCCGGGGGCAAAGGGAGGCAGAATGGTTGAGTTAAGCGGTTCCGTATGGAGTCCTGTCCATTTTAAATGAACTTGACATCTGCATTTGTTGGTTTCACATCAGCCTACAGTTTATGCTCCAGTAAATCAGAGGTCCTCAACGGGGGGGTTGAACATAATCAGAGTTATTGGAGGGGACAGTGGGGGGGGGGATTTCTCCACAGCTCTACTAGAGATGCTTATAGATAGTAATGCCTGTTTTTAAATAGTTTTTGTATTTATCTTGTGAAATATACACACGTATGACGTAACGGATAAGATTTATCTGTTGTGCATACGGGTGCAGCGAGTAATTCCACTGGCTGAGGCCATTGGAACATATCTGAGGGTTTAGCTTTATTCCAAATAAACTACATTTGTGTCTTGAGAGTCCAATTATTGTAAGAGGATCTGCTTGCTTCCAACCGTCTTATGTTCTTACGCTTCATTGTGTCACGGCGTGTGTTTGTTTCCTGTTTTATTTTGTAGTTTCCTGCCTCTTGTGTCCTTGGTTTAGCTTCACGTCCCCCCCGTGATTGTTTCCACCTGTGTCCGATCACCGGCACCGTCCCAGTGTATTCGAGCAATGTGCGTCTCTTGTCGCGTCATTGAATGTGTTTCCCGTGTTGGGATTAATTCCTGCTCCCCGTCCCGTCTGCGTTTGGTCCTCTGCATTTTTTTATTTTCGTTTCCGATTAGTAGTTTTTGTTAACTCTGCTTCCACCACCACATTGTGACATGTTGCCTCCCTTCGTGCTCCATTCGCTACTCTATTTCCACCCTTTAATTTGACTAATCGGGTGTTCTGCAATAATCTGTATGTTAATTTTAAGCATTTGTCTCTTTATTCAGGTTGAACGTTGTTGTCAGAACTATTTACCTAACCTTGTTCTCTCCGACAAGCGCAGCATTTGCCACCAGGGCTGTGGTAAATTAATCTATTAATTATAAACAATCAGACAAATTCAATTTCATAATGTCTTACTAATCAATAAGTGTTCTTTGGAAATGATCTAAACGTCTTGCATATTAGTGCTGAACAGGAGCAATGCTTTGCTGGACAGATGTTTGTTTGAGCCTTGTATATTTGTATAGATCATGTGTTGCTGCATCGCCGCCCTTATTTCTGCATATGTGCGGCCTCGGTCACATGATATTGAGCCTGCAGCCGCTCTGTATTGACAAAACTCCACGAGAGCTGCTGTGAAAGGAGCACCGTCGTTCAACAACACATTGCTGGAGAAGGTCTTCTGTTTCTGATTTGCCTTCTCGTGTCTGTTAGCCTGTTATCATGCTAAGACTGCAGCAAAAGTTAATATTCATTATAGTCTCAACACTGATTCGGTCATGTGACATTTTTGCATGTAGTGAAACGCATGACCCTCCTTACGTTGTTCGCCGCGGCTTCAGCTGTGTTTGCACTGGAGACATTTCACTAACCGCCCCGTTCTCCTCAATCTATACGCGGTCAAGTCAAAGTTCATGGCTCCTGATAGCGTTGTGCGTTGTGTGCGTTGGAAAGCTGCAATTTGTAGTCTGGAAAAATAGCGAAGCAATGATTGCGAACCCTGTGAGTGTAGAGGAATTTGTGTGCGTCTGCTGTCCGTTCCGTCGGGGCGGCTTGTCGAAGTCCGGCTCTCTGCAGGCCGAACACGGCTGACGTGTAGTGACACTTAACCGAACACGGCTGATGTGTAGTGACACTCCGCCATAGAGAGACGGAACCAAAAGGGGGGAAGAGAATTGGTGGCCGGGCGGTTTAAGACAAAAAGGAGAGACCAGCAACGAGCAACTCATTTAAAAAGATAAAACGGTAACTCAAAGACTGGGAGGAATGTTGAAAGCGGGGATGGTGATTCATCACCTCTGACTTGGAAGAACGCTCTGGCAGCTGAGAGTGACGTGTTGCTCAACATGTCGATATGCAGCTCCTTCGTGGACCAGGTTAAGGACCGGTACGCCGATCTACAGGAAGTTGAAAAAGCACAACAGCTGAATGGCAAAGCCGACAGCTATAGAAGGTCATCCGATGCGGCGCTGCTATTTATACCCCAGAGCTCCATCAGTGTGTGCTAAGCCTTCTGAAGATCACCGGGCGGAGGCGAGGCCTGCAGGGCCTGTAGCTTAGCATCGCGGTGCAGCTCACAGGCTAATGTTTTCACAATCGACACCCTCGCTGTTAATAAGAGGCAGGATGGAGTCTGTGTACGCTAAAGAGTACATTCCTTTTTGAGTGGACTTCTTCCTCACTGAGACGAGACAAGCCGCCACATGTCACGGGCGTGTGTGTGAGTGACGCCTCGCAGGGTGAGATACAGATGCACAGAACAATCACATGACTGTCACATGACTTCCCCGTCATTAACCTTAACTCATGATCATCTCAACAGCTGTTTTAATGGAGATTGTGTTGAGACAAAGTTAACATAGCTTCAAATAAGGGTTCAAATAAGGACTCCTTCATCTTCAATACGCCGGGGTGGTGGATCCTTTTGGGGTTTGAATGTTTTCACACCTTCTTGATTCGTGAGGTGTTACTTTATCTCAAGGTGGGTTATTTCCTAGTAGTGTTTAATGTTTTGGTTTTCCAGACTCTGTAGTAACGTGGATGCATGTCCAATGCATTTTGAAAACCTTTGGGCTCCGTTAATATTTACTGTCGCTGCTTATGCCAACTTCTCCTGTGGGAGGAAAAAGGGAAAGAAATGCACTAAATAAGCATTTACATTGGGTCCATGGATGTTATACGACGTGGTCTAAATTCTCAGCAGACTTTCTCTTCAAGGCTCTTACCTTGAATTGCAACCACAATGTGCATTTTTATCCCACTGTTTATCCCACACGTCCTGCTTTATAACAAATATGACTGAGCTAAACACGCACTGTCCCTGAGCTCGGGCACAGTCTGAGATTAAGTGATGTGTATGTGACCCCTGGAGGGAAAAGGTCGCGGCCATATATCCTACGCTGTATAAAACGACATGACACTATGAAAGGACTTCTGTGTCGTATGCAGAAGTACTCTTGTGTAAACTTGTGTCTACTGTTCTTAGATCGCGTGTGGAAGCAAACATGTTATACAAATCGAGCACGACGAGGATATTTAAACGGTTCCTCTTTCAATGAGTCGGCACGCACGTGCCAATGACGGGTAACGTTACAACACTCCCATAAATCCTTGGATCTGTCCACTGAGAGACTTTACGTAGTCATTACTTGTGCTTATTTTCGTCCTCAACACCGCGGACTAGTGCTGCGCCTCTCAAACAGCGCGCACCGGGATGTGTGCTTGCCGGGACGCGCTGTGCTGCTTTTTGCGAGGCCGGGCCTGTCTGGCCTCGTCCGCCTCACCTTTTCCCGCGTTGCCTGTAGCCAGGAGCTTTTTTTCCTGTTGTCTCTGCACACGGATGACTCACTGGGGCCGGCACAGAAAGATGGAGGCTCCTGTGTAAATGATTCCGGTTTGTCGGCATAAACCTGGGCTTTGTTTGCCCTCCGTCTCACCTGTCACGCTTTCTGTGTTTTAAGCTGCCGTCAATGGATGCCGCTCAAACTGGCCTGAGCAGATGTGGGGCTTTTGCTGACCCATCATTTAGATTGTCCTCACACCACTGCAGAGACACCGTGCTGCCATCTGATTGACCTTTAGTAAGTGTTTTCACATGTGGAGAGATGGCTGAAAGGGATGGTGAGGTTATAGGTCACACAGAGAGGCGGGATGTGGCCGGTGTGCAGTTTCCATGATGCACCGTCGCCATCCTTTCACACACTTTGCTCCAGCTCTCGTCTGATAAATGGAAGCAGGGGCAGACTCTGTTTTTCCACTGTAAGCGGGGTTAAAGTTCCCTTTTGTGCTGAGTTGCGTTGCTTAACGGACTTCCTCCTCCAACACATTAGGCTACATCCTACAGCTCTTTTTTTATTTTTGTAGGTCGTAATTTCAGTGGTGCTTTCCTGTTTTTAAAGGGTGACCTAATGCTGGTGGTCTGATTGCTAACCCCCGTTGTTTGTGAGATCCATTGCGTGTTGAAACCTCAGAGCTATCTCATGGTGCAAATTCCTGAGTGAAGTCCAGTGATTGTCAAAATCAGCATAGAAACCTTTGCGCTTTTCTCTAAGGTTAAAATGCAGACAGTTTCAGTTTCGGCCAGTGGAATATGTTGTGTCAGGGCGTCTCAGGTCAGTCTTCTATTTGTGTCAGAGTGCAAGCTGTTCATCCGCCACCGTGTGTGTGTGTGCGTGTGTGCGTGTGTGCGTGTGTGTGTGTGCATGGGGGGGGTTTAGTTAGAACGTGCAAACATTATCAAAGCAAATGAGCCTTCTGGTGGTTTACTGGTGGTTTGATTGCTGAGAAGGTACGTGTAGCTAGTTGTGGATAGTTCTTGCATGCTTTGCACTAATCAAGGGGGATCGTCTTACTCCAAGTCAATAGCCCATTTCCAGTGTACAAAAGAAAAGAGAAGCCCTCTGAATACTAACTAACCCTATAAAGGTGAGAACAATAGCTGGTATCTCAGTTAGAGCCTTCTTTGGAAACTATTGGATTGTAAATAAAGTACAGTTTACCCGTACGTATCAAAATGCAAAGGAGTCCTTTTCTCAGAGGCTGAGGTTCGCGGGGGGTTGAACAGGGCTGTGCTCTCCCCTGTGGTTCCGCTGAGGATGCAATTTGTCTGCACACACAAGTCGATCTGCAGTAACTCCAGACCAAGGATCATTGGGCCCTAATCAGGGAAGTACCGTTTGCTGACTGGCCCGTCACTCTCCAAAAGCTCATCAGCGTCTTTGCGCCCGAATGGCGCTTGCTCTTGCCAAGCATTTCCATGTTTTGCCACAGCTTTTGAATGCTTGGCGCTCTGGCATTGTGAGTATAGGAAGCTGCTCACGCAGCCGGTACCGTCTGCACGAGCCGCACGCCGCACGCTGAGGCATACGAGGGAATCACCAGCGTCGTGGTCAGTCAGCCGCTTTTGAAAACCGGGTGAATAATTATTGTTGTGAATTTGTGGGGGAACCTAATAAATGTGCACGCTGCACAGGGCACAAGAGGTCAGTCTGACATCCTTGTGAATCCTTGGCCTCTACGATCGCCACATGTCACTGCAATGGGAGCCGGTGAACGGAAGGCGGCCATATTTGTGGGTGTGTCTCTGTAGATGCATGTACACAAATAGACGTAAAAGCGGAGAAATCACAAAGCCACATGGGTTCAACTCATGAGCAGTAAGATCTGTTCTCGCTAGCTGGCGCACAATCCTAGACCATCAGGATTAATAGATTTGTTTCCCTCGGGTCCACAGGGAGGGGTGTAATAGTAACCTACTTTAGGAAATCTCAAGTGAAATACCCCGAGCGAGTGCTGCCTATTTCAAAAGATCATTCCGTGTATTTTGACCTCCGTCAACTCCAGCCGGGTCGAGTCGAGCGCCGTCTGCTGTAACAAACATGGCAGCTCCAGTTACATTTGGCCCCCGTAGCTCCAGACCGCCGCCCGTCAACCGCCATGTCCAACTGGAGGAAACCACGGTCCCAAACCAGACGACTCGAGGCCCGAGAATCTACAGTCGCAGACGTGAGCGGCGCCGAAGGCCGAGCGCGGCTGCACTTTCTAGGCTGTGACACCTGCAAGGAGGCGCCGCCTGAGAAGTGCTCATAATCATGCTGTGGAAATTCATCCCAGCAAACGAAAACCAGTTATCTCTCCGTACGTACAGAGGAATTACTCCTGGTCTTCTTGTCCTACTTAACAGCTCGAGTGGCGAGGATTAGGCGCTGAAATCCTGGCGCTGAGCCATACGGAGCTCATGTGACCAGTGGAAGGTCACGACATTGGCCCGTGGGCGCGGGGAGTGCATCTAGTGGTCAAGCAACCTCTTTCACTCTAGAAAACAATGGCTCTCCTTGACCGAGCTTCACAAAAGGCGAGTGAGACTCGGCAAAACCACCCGGAGCCTCTTTGGAGATTATCATCCTTAATAATTGGCTATTTGCTTGATTACTGATGATGCAATTTCCAACAAGTATAAAATGTGTCCAAATAGCCGCTGGGTCCTTTTTTCCCAAAAGCCTTTGTCTTTTTTGTCCTCAGCCAGCATGGCAGGCGAGTCCTCAGGTCAGTTAGTGGTAGATGAACGTCACTAGAACGCTGCGTAAGGGCATCGTGGGAACGCTGATGTAGTGGCTTGAGCAGGATTAAGGTCAGCAGTTGTAAGGGGCTCAGAAACTCTGCTCCTCATTCTGCAAGTCTTTTTTTAAAATATCCATCTGTGCGTATTTAAAATCTTTTACATTATTAATATAAGTGCATGGGAGCACACAGGATGCACCGTTGCCGCTCACGTTGCAGCCGCCTGTTCAGCGCAATGCATTCTTGCAGGAATTGAAATCTCACGCGGTGCGTAAACCAGCGACGCGTCACTTCTCCCCCGGCAGTGCGCGGGGGGAGGGGGGGGGGGGTCTGGAGGTTAGTTGGTTGGAACGCAGCAGGTCTCGCCCCCATCGGCCGGCTCTCGGCTCACTGGCTTTGTCATTCCAGCTGCGATAGTGTCTGTGAACAGAGAGCATTATTCATGTCCTCGCATGGAGGGAGGAGGTGGGATCCTAATTGAAATTCCGGTCTCTTCCGCTGGAACGAAGAGAGGGGCCGCGACACCCCGCTGTATTATGCTGCCCCCGTCACCCCGAAAGGGCCATCTGGAGACTGTCCACATTCTTGGCCCCATCAGAAGAAACGGGGAAGAGAATCCTGAAGTAGAAGAGAAAGGAAGGACTGAAGCAGGACCAAAGGGCGCTGCGGTTTGACGGAAGCTGCTGGCGGACACTGTGGAGCGCAGACTGATGGCAGCGAGAATGAATCCGCGACAACGGAGGACAAGGAGCCTCTTTCTAGTTGGTTCACTACGAGTCGGCCTTCTCTCTCTCAACAACAACAACAACAACTGTACATGTTGTCTGAACCTTTATTTAGTGTCCCAGCATTTATCAAGCGCTGTTTCTATTAAAGGGAAGATATTTCTTCAGGCACATGACTTTTTGAACAGTTAATCATTTAGTCAAATACATAAATTGTTAAAGGTTTCCCTTTTTTCCCTCAAACGGATTGAGGAGTATTTTAGCGGTTGTTGACACACACTTTCCTGTATACTGCCGGCAAACATGAGGAGTTTATTTGTGTTAAAAGCCGCAGTAGTAATCGTCATAATGTGGGAGTTGTGTCTTTGTTGCATCACAACGACGTGAGCGTCATCAGCACTGTCAGGATGCCTCACCTTCTAAAATCGTTCTAGTTTATATAACTTAGTCGTATAAACCGACCACTTTGAGTTCAACCCGACAGTTTCTGCATGTTCAGAGGAATATACTAATATTTATTTCATGCTAAGCTACTAACAACCAATCTCAAACTAGTATGGTGTTTTGAGTTAGGAACGCAAAAATCTTATTTGAAACTTGTTTGAGACTTTAAAAGCTGGTAAACTTCGCCTCGTTGGCGACATTCTGTGTTGCAGAACACCTACTAACGCTCTGCCCCTCTGTTCTCTGTTCTCTCCAGGGATCGAGCTGTGTCTTCCAGGGTGGCGCTTTTCCATGACCATGGTGGCCAGTTTTATGTTGTTGGGCGGCCAGCTGCTGATGCCCTTGGTGGCCTACCTCTGCCGCGATTGGCAGGTCCTCCAAGTCGTCATCATCTGCCCCTTGCTGCTGATGCTGTCCTACATCTGGTAAGAAGCGAGTACCACTTGTTAAAGCTGCATTCAGGCACCGCTGATCTGTACAAAGCCAGTGAAGAACAGCCTTGACTACAGTTTTTTCTTTTCATCACAAAGGCCTTCTGAAAGGCTTCTGAACGCTGGCGCCGTGATGCTCTTCAATCAGCGTATGACACATGGAGCAGAGCTGATAGACGGGGTTTCCACAGTGACACAGGCCGTCCATACTAGACATGAGGGACCAGACCAGTCGCTGTTATCCTAACGAATGAGTGAAGACAGATAGCGGGACAAACATTTGTCTGCTTAGATAATATCTGCTTATAGATGTCGTCATGGCATCCAAAACATGACTCAAGGACATTTAGCGGTTTGTTAGTCATATTTCTCACAGAAATTCCTCCACTTTGGATCGTGAATCCAACCCGCGGCTTTTATTAGCCAACTGGCTGTTGCCTCCTTCGACACAGAGATGCACAGATGCATCAGCGAGCTCGAGTCCGGCTTCACAAAAGCCTTCTGGGAAAGTATTGTAGGCCAGGGTGGATTTTCTGAAGTAGGAGATTATGGCCACGGATCGGATGCATTTTGGACGTCGGCAGAATCTGCAGGTGTAGAAAAACAGCTGATATGACATTTAAATCCACACCAGTGGAATATCATTCATAGAAATGTAACCAACTGGGGTAAATGGGGCCTGAATCTCTTCACATCAACATCCATCAGTGAGGACAAACTTGTCAACTCACTGCTGCCACATACGTAGATGTAACTTCCAGAAACACGAGCATAACGAACGAGGGTTTATTACCCTTTAAAGATATCTGCTTTAGGTCATTTGTGTTGAAGTGAAATCTTAGTTTCCCCCTTTTTTCTCGATTGGGTTCCTTAATGTGTTACAATGGCAGATTGGTTAACAAAAAACTAGGTTTGATACTTCTAACCCGGATTAGGAGACATTTCTTTTTCTGAAAGCTGGATTCACTGTTATTTAGTTGACAAGGAGATCCCCCATGTTTGTGGCAGGATCTTCCCCGAGTCCCTGCGTTGGCTGCTGGCCACTCAGCAGTACTGCCGCTCCAGATGGATCATGGGACACATAGCAAAGAAAAACCAAGTCAACCTGGATCTTGACACCGATAATATCCTCACAGGTAAGACATTAGTTTGCATTAAAAGTCTGCCTTTTACATGTTGATGTTGTGATTACTGTCTGTAATATCAATCGATTTATTTGCCGTGTTATTTCTTCTTCTTCTCTATTTTTTAAAGCACTGTCTGTGTGCTATTATCCCCATCTGGGCTTCCCTAAATAAGACCGATGGGCAAGGTCATATCAGCTTCCTGTCGAGTTGCCGTAGCAACAGACCCCGTCAGAGGTGGCGGCCAGTGTTGAACATCACATTAAGACACTAGAGCGTTCATTCATTTCACTACAGCCTGGCCTGATGGGCGGCTGGCAGACGGACGCAGGCCGTGCACTTTGACCCCTGAGTTAACTGCATCTGTACTAAGACGACGCTACAGAAGCAGAGAGCTGAGAAAACGATGTTAAATGTCGTATCAGATTGGCTTTGTTACCTTTAACTGTCTACCGCTGCTTCCATTGTTGTCCTGCCGTCGTTCCCCGTACTTTATTTAGGAAGCGCTGTGAAAAGGTTCAAAGAGGAACCGCTTTCAAACTGTGCTGATGCAGCGCTGAGAAAACTCCATCGCCAAAGACGTTAAATCATCCACTCTGGTTTTTTTTATAGCGACTGCCTGCCCCCCAACCCTGACAGGAACATTTCCCCCTTTTTAAACTGCTTAGCGCTGAAAAACCATATTGAGCTCTGAATGCACCGAACGCCGCACTCGCAGAGCAGCTGAGCAACTTTTGCACGCGTTCATACGTGGCGCATGCAGAGGCATGCGCAACTACCCGGATGATGTCATCTGTGGAAAGTGAGCAGAGTGATTTGCATGCAGATGCAAGGAGCTTTGTGGGCGGACCAAAGGGATCGCTGGAAGGCTTTAGTGGTGCCGCCGAGCAGGGCCGGGTCTCCACGGCAACCCGCCGGTGTGAAATGAAAACATCCAGTGTTTGCCGTGTGGCCCTGCGGGCTATGGGCGTCGCCCGCTCGCTCGCTGTTCCTGTTCCACCGCGAGGGATTGTCCCACCTGTCTCACGGTGGCAGCGTGGGAGGAAACCTGCTCATTAGAAATCCACCTAAGACAGTTTCAGTGGATCCTTTCGCCTGAGAACTCACTCTGACATGATATTGACTCAAGTCTGCTGAATACACTGAATACACCTGTAAAGAATGTACTGCGGGAAAATCACAGGAACTAAACTAAATAAAAGTTATACTTTGTGTTTTTGGAATGTCAAATATATTATATTCATTAGTATTAAAACCAACCTCAAAAGTCAGACGCTGGTAAAACGCTAAGATGAACACGTTTGATTGTTTCCAGAACTGCAAAGCGCTCTTCAAAAGAGACACAAGAAGACGTGCATCGTGAAGATGGTCGGGACGAGAAACCTGTGGAAGAACATCGTTGTGCTCTGCGTCAACTCGTAAGCTTTCGCCTTTTGTGTTTGTACTTTAGAAGCAGCTTGAACCTTCACACTGCTTTTATGTGTTGGAGAGAGAGAGATTGTGTGTGTGTGTGTGTGTGTGTGTGTGTGTGTGTGTGTGTGTGTGTGTGTGTGTGTGTGTGTGTGTGGGGGTGGGGGTGTGTGGGGCGAGGGGCGAGGCGATGCCGGGCAGACGCGCCATTTTGTACAGTGGAGAATGTCCTGTTGACCCGAAGGCCCTATGAGGCATCGATCGCTTCGCCCTTCTGTTTGCACTCTCTCGCTCTCTCTCTCTCTCGCTCTCTCTCTCTTATATATATATATATATCTATATATATATAGATATATATATATCTGAGACCTCATAGTGTCGACGTGATGAATCTCCTCCCAATCTTTTAGTGTTACTCTGATCTATATTCGCCGCATCATCCCCTCTTGTCCGACTGCAAACACGTCCCCCTCTAGTGTCCCCTAACGGAGCGCTGTGTGTCTTCTCCACCCAGGCTGACCGGCTACGGGATCCACCACTGCTTCGCCCGCAGCATGATGGACCCCGAGGCTCAGGAGACCACCATGTTCCACAACTTCTACGCAGATTACTACACCATGGCGGGCATCGCGGTGGCGTCCTGCATGGCGCTCTGCCCGGCCGTGGGCCTGATGGGCCGGAGGGGGGGTCTCCTGATGTTCATGATCATCACTGCGCTGGCGTCTCTGCTGCAGCTGGGCCTGCTCAACTGTGAGTACGAGGAACCGAGGTCCACCCCACGCTGCCACGGCCATGACGCGTTCTGACTCTGAGCGGCTGAAGCGTCTCTGCCCAGGAACCCTTTAGCAGGGGTTTTCTTAAATAATAGGGATTTAAGGTTGCATCGGCCTTTTAATAAGCCGTGTGCCCCTGTTTATTTTTCCCAGAAAAAGAGCGAAATAAACGATGAAGTGATCCTACTGCCGAACCCGAAGCCACTTATGTCGTATTCCTCCGTGCGATAGAGCTCCAGTGTCGTCCAAGAACTAATGAAACAAATGTCCGTGAGCCTCAGTTGTGTTTACCTGCTCCTACTGAGGCTGCTTGAAACGCTCTCCAGGGCCCGAAGGTTTGCTCGTTCACGGCTCCACAGAAGTCCCCGATAGTAGAGAACTCTTAAGCCGCTTTGCCATTTGTTTTTAAATGAAAGCATTTTCTGCCTCAAGTAAATATCTTAGACAGCTTGAAGTTATTACAAACACTTGAATTGACTGTTTTATTGCAAAACAAAAGAAGACATAAATGAGAGAATATTAGAGAGTTTTTATAAACCTGAAGCTCCCGCACAGCGGAGATAACTCCTCATTATTGGCTTTTATTTCATCGTGACGTCATATTATAAATTGCGTGGCACAAAATTCTGGCCGACTGTATGATTCCAAGCAAATGAAAAAGTGTGAACATGTGAACATGTTTGCTCAGTGGAACAAAATGAGCATTAATTCATTAATTAATATCATTTTTAAATAAATAGTACACAGGATCTTTGTTTTCTGTGGTTGTTTCTAATGGAGTCAAACGCAATCGTAGACAGACCATTTAGTCAACGTGCACTAAAGAAGTGCTCCATGTGATCGAAAGCGTGCACGAGTGAGTTTGTTCAGTTCCAAACGAGTGGCCTTAATGTTTAACCCGAGTCCACACGCCAAGGTTACGCTCTCGTGTGTCACGTTCTCCTTTGAACCGTTTGTGTCGTAACTGCATGTCGACACGCTTTGCTCCACATGTTTGTTTTTCGTTTGTAATGTGTGTGTCCTACATTTTATTATTGCCCTGCTCTGTAATTCTCGCACACAGACGTCATATAAAGATGAATCTCTCTCACTCTCCTCTAGTGCTGGGGAAGTACAGTGGCCACCTGAACATAGGTAAGATCACCCTTCTTCTATCGTTTCATCAGCTTTGCATTCTGGATTCAATTGTGTCATCACTTAGGCTGCTGCATTATCTTAATGAGACTTTAGGGAACACACACACACACACACACACACACACACACACACACACGTACGCCGCAGTACTTCATCAGGCGGACACAGGCCCTGCAGAGACGCGTAATGAAGTCCGAGATGTAATTACGGCGAGCTTTTCACTTATTCGCCCCCTTTGTGTTGAAGAGGTTTGGCCTTTTTGTAATGGATCGGAGTCTCACAACAAGCTTTCCCTCACTGCTCACTTATTTTTATCACCTTATTCTCTCCTCCTCCTTCTATGTCGTCTTCGGCGTGTCTCATTCATAAAGAAACGCTTTATTCAGATCATATTTGGCTCTCTGTAATGGAAGCCACTTTCACAGTTACTCCTCAAAATAAACCTGAGCGTCGGGGAGCCGTTGCATCGCATTCCACCTTTCATCTAGTTCTTCTAATGAAAATACTTATTTTATTCAATTTTACTAACGCGTGTTAAAATAGTTGTCTTTAAGTAAAGTGATGCAGTTTGTGTTTGGAAGCAAAGAAATAACTCAAATGTTTGATGGATCCACTTCATGCGCTGGATTGCATCATCTCAATATGTTTGTTTCATATGGTTTGAGTGCTTGTGGGACAGAAACTCCTGTGTGCATGATGCTGGAAACCACTTTCATTTAATCTGTCATATGTGTGCATACTTAAGAGGGTCTTTCCAGCACAGCACCGATATCACGTGATCATTTTCAAGCATCTCGTATGTTTCATTCTACAAAAACACAAATGCTTCACAGTCGGGACACTAACAAAAGAAGGATTTGACAATATCCGCCTGTCATGGCGAAAGGCGCCATTCGGTCGTTACGGCAACGTCTTTCTAGAAAACAGTAAATCTGAATAATATGTCTTCAGATCGTACCGTAATCTGTTGTCTCAACATGATAAATACACTTTACAAATTCACTCAATGAAACGCACCCTGGGTTCTTGGACCCAAATGTCCCGACTAAGCATACGGTTGCTTCTTAAAAACAGAAATATTGTCTTTCTTTTTCTTCTCATATCCACTCACATTTTTCCACTTTGTCTGCAGAAAACTCTGGTACGCTGAATAAGAATTTCTCCGTCGCCTTCTCCATCATCGGCATGTTCTCCTCCCACGCAGTCAGCAACCTGAGCATCTTCTTCTGCGCTGAGATCACGCCCACTGTGATCAGGTGACGCCCCGAAATGTGGAGAATGTGCTTTTGAGACGTCTTGTGTTTTACATGCGTAGGATATTGTTTGTAACTAGCGTTCATCTTTGCCCCAATTTGTGCGTCGTTAATCCAGCCGGGTTGACAAGTGCACCCAATATTCTAGGTGCACTTTCTACACATCTGCTGATTAGTTTATGATTCACACAACAGTGGTTGGTGTCCATGGCAACACTTGTTCCTGCAGAAGGATTAGCTGCCTCGCCTCCCGTTGAAGGAGGGTATCAAATCATCAAACGGACCCTCACGGTTCCGTGTCAAATGTAATCCGCATCTTGCACCAATTAGCCGTCCCCTTTGAGGATATATGACACGGCACTGGATGCTCATTATCCGGGGTTACGTAAGGGGTAGTGCTTTGCTGAAAGCTCTCCTCAGGTGACCTCTGGTGGTGAAGTAAGGCCGCTTCAGAAGAGGAACGGTGCCGCATGTGGAGCTGGCGCTTAGTGGTACTGCAGCTCTCTGCTGCTGTGTGCCAACATGGCATTGGGACTTTAACTGAACTACATGAATAGAGTTACAGCTCAGTTCAACGTGTCTAATGATCCGTCCTAAATTGTACCACGCTTGCGTCTCACCACAGGGGTGGCGGGCTGGGCCTGGTCCTCGCCAGCGCCGGCTTCGGCATGCTGACCGCGCCCATCATGGAGCTGCACAACCAGAAGGGCTACTTCCTCCACCACATTATCTTCGCCTGCTGCACTCTCATCTGCATCATCTGCATTCTCCTGCTGCCCGAGACGCGCTACCAGCCCCTGCCCGAGACCCTCGCCGACGGCGAGAGCTACACCCGCCAGCCTCTCCTCCCGCCCAGGAAACCCGGAGAACAGCGCCTCTTGCTGCCTCAGTCCGAGAGCAGCAGGGACTACACCCGCGTGCACGACACGCCGCTCCACGAAGCGGCCGCCACCGCCGTGTCCACCATGGACTCCACCGCCTCCTCGGCTGTCGACCTGACCGCCCAGTCCGCGGGGGACGTGTCCGCCCCCGCGTTCATGGAGGTGTACGCCGGCAAGCCTCAGCCAAAAGACCCCAACGGCCGGCCGGCCTCGTCCTTGTCCGCGACCGCCATCCCGCCGCTGAGCAAAGGTGGCGACGTACACGCCAGTAAAGAGCAACTGGCGCCGTCCACTCCGTTGCGCAAACTCCCGTGCGTCACGGACCCACTGCTGGCCGGCGCCGAAGAGCCCGCGGCGCTCGTCCTGGATTCTGATGGGCCACCGACGGATCCTGCTGGTTTTGAGATGAAAGACATCGGTCCTTCCACTGCGAAAGAGTCCGCCGCTTCCCCCACGTTGGACCGCTTCCCTGCCCCCGGGCCCAAAGCTGCGCCTGCCTCCCCGTTGATCTGCACCACACCCGTCATCGAACCCCCGCCCAGCTCCACCTTAGAATCCCCCAGCCTGCAGGGGAATGAGATCGACGATATTGCCCTGAGATTCGACCCCCCTTTGCTAGAGGTCACGAATGCCGCTGTAGAGGGCTCCCCTACTCCATCTTTGCATGGCACTCCCCCTCCGTCCCCGAGCCCCTCTCCCGTCCCCATGGCCGATGGCGGCCTTTCCAGTGATCCACCCCCTTCCACTGGTGTTCACTTGGACAATCCCATCAAGTTAGAAATAGTAGAAGAACCTCCATCTACTCCTTCCCCCGGAGACTCCCCCGCACCTCCTGTCACAGATCCTCAACCCCCACAGATGGAGCCCACCCCTTCCTGTGTCATTGACACAACTCCTTGTTTTCCCACCGCCCCTGACACGGTCCCAGTTTCCCCTTCACCCACTCCTCCACCCGTTGACTCGGGCCATTCGTCCTCCGAGGCCTCCTCCGCCCCCGCTGTGATAGATACTATCAACATAACTGCACTTATTCCCACCATCCTCCCCGTCACAGACATTGTGCCCCCCTCCTCCCCTCCAGAATCCACCACTCTGACTGTGCCGCCCACACAGGCTTCAGCTTCCTCCCTCGGCGTGGATCCAGCGCCGACCTCCGAGGCAGCTCGCAGCTCTCTGATTGACTGCACCGTCTCCTCCCCCATAGACTCTGGCGTCCTCTTCTTCGGGGACAGCGCCACCGCAGACAACAACGGCGTCAACGGCGTGTCATCGTTATGATCCACCGTCGCAGAAGAAGCTCTGCGGTTTGCGCGAGGAAGCAGCCGGGCCACGAACTGTCCGACTCAGACTTCAGGCCGGCGCTGAAGATGGTCCCGCCTGGTGTTGAGTAGATGTGTCTTACAGATGTTTCTCAGTGTCGCCCCCCCCACTTCCTGTATTTAGCCAATAAATGAGACCACTCGAGTGAGACAAAGGTTGTTTTGTGACAATGTGACAGTATCTTCTGCTCTTTTTGAATGTCACTGGAAATCACCAGCCTTCAAACTACTTAAATGTAAATGAATGAAAAAATCACTGTCTGTCGTGTTCAAGACTTCCAACTGTACCCACAATCACGAAGAGGACACAAAAAAGCAAAAAAAAGCACTAGTACTTTTGCTGATATTAAATGTCCGTCTAACATATTTGCATAAAATTATTGCCTTACTTGTGCGGACAAAGAAATCTGAATGTTGAAACATTTTTGGGAAATTACGGAGGTCAAATTGAAATTTGAGGGATTTTTCTGATTACAATGCCAAAAACTACTCAGACCAAAATGAAATGTAGACATAGTGCCAAAAAACTAGTTTAAATACAGTATTTGCCTGATTGGGGATCTACTGTTAAGTGCAAAGACTGTTTGTGTATTTAAGTGAATCCGATTCCCCTTTTCAAAGTTCACTAATATAATAGAAGATCATTTTTCATCAAATGATTAAGAGACTGAAAGCTATGTTATTATTGGATGAATTAGATTTGAGAGATGAGATTGCAGAATATCTTTCACCAACACTTCATTGAACAGCCATATGGGAGAAAAGAATGACCCATATTTTGGTCGGCCTGAAGATTTATTTTTCCAATCGTGATGGAATTTAGGCGATGCAAATACTTTTATCTGTAAATGTGATATTGTAAGTAAATGCATAATTAGTTGTTGAGCTTGATTCAGTCTTTTTTTCTTAATTCAAAGTATTATTTTGAATAATCTCCCATGGCGTGCCCTTATTGTACAAAGCTATACTACATTCTTACAGTATTTGTGGTACCTCATTGTGGCGCCACCTTATTCTTTGCAGTTGGGGCATGAAAATAATTGTAAACGTATCAGTAAAGAAGAAAACATTCAAAGCAAACCTTAAAAAGACACAAAAGCTATTTTTGAAATAAAAGCGACAAATGACTAAATGTTTGATACGACTGCCAACTTTCACCGCATCGCTAACTTCCAGTGTTTTCTAAATCATTACATAGTTGTCAACGTGTTCACAGATTCACATGCACAAGTAAGTAAAAGCAAAAGGATTCAGCGCAGGTGAAATCTTTATTCCTCGATGGACAAACGAATCATGTTCAAATGACAAACACTGTCCAGCTGCGCGTTCTGCTTGACGACAGTTGTAACTACACACGTCCTGCTTTGTCAGAGAAAGATGTATGATTATGGATAGATCACTGTTTACAACTATAATCATGCTAATTTCTTTTTAATGTACTGGTCAAGAGGCGACTGAATGATGTCTTGTTTTTTCAAGTGTGATGAAACTTGTGGTACAATGAGAGGTACTTTACTCACCGATGTCCTCTTTCGTTTTCATCTCACTCAAATGTGCACTGACAAAAAGGCGCTACAAATTTTTAGGCAACGAATGAAGGAGAAACCGGTTTGTGTTTCTTCACTCACTGCATTTTTATTTTTTTAATCAACACATGGAAGCAATATTTTTCAGTTGATTTAATTGGTGTTCAATTGATATTTAAGTCAAGAAACTTGCATTCAGTGAAGGATTCATCTAAACATTTAAAGCCATGCTGCTAAACCTCAAAGCACAATCCTCTGCAATCATGTGATCAGCTTCTTTTCAGTAAAAACAACAACCACAACAAATGAAATGGAGTGTGATTGTGAATACATACATTACAAATAAGACATTGACCTTTGCAATAGACCAGGTGTAATCTGCTTTGTGGAACGCGGCAGTGACCCTGATTTTAAATGACCAGTTGTGGACTGAAGAGAGGGTCGACTGCAGTGGCGAGCAGCTCCACAAGTCAAACAAGTCCTCGTTGTCTCTGTCTCCGTGTGCGTGTTGCAGAAATAAATCTTGTGTATTGCCAATACTCCGTGCTGCACCCTGTAAAGACAAACACAACAGGCCGGTGTCGCCGCTAAGATCAGTTGCTTCCATTTCGCACAACTCGCATGCAGCTATTTCACGGTGCTGATGGGTCTTTAAAAAAAACAAATGTAACTGAGTAAAAGCGACGTTGTCAGCAGCCTCACGGCGGACTGTGGCACGGTGATTGCCCCGGGGCACAGGCAAGAATATAAGAATGCGTCATGCCTTTTGTAAATATTAAATGTGTGGAAAAAGCCCAGTGTTGATAAGATGAAGGGTCATAGATCTTAATGAATCATTTTGAACTTAGATAAAACTCTCAGAGACTTGAAGTGTACACAGTTCAGTTTCAGGTTTTGCTTCTCTCCACCGTGCACTCAGAATCTCCTGATGGAGGTTTGGATGAATGTAAAAACCATGGATTGTACCATTTATCATTTCTGATTGTTTTGGGTTTATTTTGTTTTAACACATAAATGCAGTTGTATATAAGCCATACCTGTTGTTAAAATAAACCACTATTTATTGATCAACTGTGATTATCTGTGAGTTCTTGGGTGGCTTCACTGAAACAGATTTGGAGGACCGCTTTTAGTTGTCTAGAGTTCAACATCATTTGAAATGATCTGATCGAGGAGCACGTATGAAAGTGGCCCAAATCCAAAGTGCAAACACCAGAGTTCATGTGATCATGTTATAGACAGAATGGATGTCCGTTGTTGATGCATAAAGAGAACATCTGATAGGGGCCTTCGCCTTCGCCTGAACACCAACGAAAAGAACTCTTATTGCTGCCGAGGCCCCCGAATAAAAACCAAACTCCCCATAGTACGTTAATGATGTGACTTTCACCGCCGTCTCTTTCTATTGCCAACAACAGCGAGGTGGAAACCATTACGATCTGATAGTTAATCCGCTGCACTGGTTTATTTATGACCCATAAATAAAGATGAAAAAGGTTATTCCTAGACGGTCTCATTTGGGATGCTAGTCTGGAATCTACACACACACTCGTACTCATCATTTATGTTCACAAACAAGACGTGTCGAATGGAGCCCGATGCTGGCGCTTTAAAAAACAAGAGATCATAAAAGTTATTACAATTGATAAGAACATGATTATGTGTCAAAAATGTCATGACAATGAATTTTAAATATTTTGAATTTGCTAATAAATGCTAACAATTGACATGCTGACATTGAAAATGCTTTGGTTTCTCTGACTCTCGGGCCCACAACTCGTCTCTAGTCATCCTTTCTGCTCAAAGGCGCATCTGCATTATTCAAACCAAGACACCAAAATGTCAAGTTTTGTGGTCAGGATGACAAAATCAAATTGAAGCTCCTGGACGCTCACACAGCTCACAGAACATGTAGATGCCTTCAGCATCTCCACCCGAGACCAGCAAAGGAAAGGCAACATTTTCACTGCGTGGGACTGGATGACGTCAGAGGGATGATGCAGCAAGATCCTCTGGGCCACTGCATCAAACCAGGCGCGCTCCTATTGGCTGACGGCGGCGTTAAAACGCTGCGCCATGTGCCGCGTCATCTGACCGGCAGCGCGTTCATCCATCGCAGCGACTCAGTGCACATTTTGAGACGCGCGACAGCAGGAGACTGAAGACTGGACCGAGACACAGCGATCCTTGTCAGCATCCGCAGCGCACCATGAGGGAAATTGTTCACCTCCAGGCCGGACAGTGCGGGAATCAGATCGGGGCGAAGGTATGAACATCACCCTCACATTTAGGAAAGCGAAAATTCACGCAGTTGGACTTTAACGCGCGACTTGTTCTAGTTTTGAATGCATTAAATAATTAAATCGGCGTCTCCTGGACGGGTGCAAATGAATCTTTCGTTAGATTTAAGGTGGATTATTCATTGGGTGCACATGTGTGCGCAGGGCGCGGTCCAGCTGTGGCCCAGCGGCTGCGTGTCACCCTGTCACCAAACAAGATGCGCACTTATAGTAGAAGGCTTGATGCCAACGCATAACTGGTTTTCACGCATAGTTTTGTCACTTATATCATCACGTTTGTCCCATCTTAGTTCTGGGAGGTGATAAGTGATGAACATGGCATCGACCCCACCGGTAGTTACCAAGGAGACAGTGACCTGCAGCTGGAGAGGATAAATGTCTACTACAACGAGGCATCAGGTAAAAAAGGACTTTTGGGGGGGTTTTATCAACCAAATGTCTGCAACCGAATCGTTTACCAGCAGCTTTTTTTTTACATTGCTTGTTGTTCTTGCATGACCTTATTTTGTACAGACCTCATTTGCACGTCACTATTTTAGCTGCAGTGGGAAAGTAGGTCCTAGGGAAAATTAGGACAGTGAATCGGCTAAAATATGTGTCTCTCTTTTCCTCTCTCTCTCTCTCTCTCTCTCTCTCTGTCTCTCTCTGTCTCTCTCTCTGCTATAGGGAGCACAGGTATCTGCAGTCTCTGTATAGCTGACCCTGAGCCCCTTGTGCCTTGGTTTCCTCTCAGTACCTGATTGTATTATTCTATACTGAAGGTCATCGTGTGCCATTCCTCACAATACAGCTATTTGTCCAGCAACACAGTCTTTGAACAGATGCCATCAGAGAAGGACCAGTCAGTGAAGATCTCAGTCCCTGTAGAAGGCCGTGCAGAAGGGCCTAAGGCGCATACACTCTTAACATCCACCACTAATGTATTTCCTTGCTCCCAGCATTATTGATCCTTTGTTTCCACGTTGCATGCTGGGTCACTGCTCAATGGGTATTGACTGAGCATCCCACAAATGAATGTCCCCTTAAAATGTAAAAGAAAATACTATGAGGGATCCTTACAAATAACATTAAGACTTACGCAGGCAAGATAAGGGGAAAAGAGGCATGACGTGGTAGGATGCTTTGTTTGACTGAACTCTGCAGAGCTTGCAATATTTGAAAAGCCCCACTGGTCTAGAATAAGCTGGGCAGCATGCTGCAGCAGCTAGCTTGCAATGAGGGTTACAGAAGAACAAAGAGGAACAACGAAAGAGAAATCGAAGGCAATCCTTCGGCCTTTAAATGTCCAGCCTGCAGTATTCTTTAATCTGAAGAGTGTTTGCTGTAAATATCACATGAGCAAACTGCTCTGCTGTATTAAAACCATTAAGGTGGCTACAGTATGAGGAATATTTGTCTGGTTCTGACGCCATGTACAGAGACTGTTGATATCTTACTCCACCCTTCCATCCATCACCTCTCTCTGTCCCTCTGTCTTCCACTCTTTTTCGTCCAAAGGCAGCAAATATGTCCCTCGTGCCATTCTGGTCGACCTCGAGCCAGGAACCATGGACTCGGTGCGCTCCGGCCCATTCGGACAACTGTTCAGGCCTGACAACTTTGTCTTTGGTGAGTGGACAACAAATCACCCTGAATCAACTTGACACGCAATGAAAGTTGTGCGTCAGCAGCCGCTGTCGGAATCCTGTAGCGCTGTGCTCCGTTCAGCCTGAGACTTCTTGACAGCACTGCGTAGTTTCCAGCACGAGGCGCCTGCAGCCCTTTCAGCGATGCGCCAGTGGTCCATGTGCAGCTGTGTCAGTCTGGGACAACTCATGTAGTGACTCAGCAGAAAATGCATCTACTAGGAGATGATGCTGCAGTGCTGCTCGCAAATGACCATTCTAGCCGGGGCCAATAAACTCCAGCACCAGTACTCCAATACCACAGGACCACGGTCCGTTACAGAATTATCGTTTACCCGTGATTTCATTTATATGCTTAGATTAGAATTAGAATTAATGCACATTTAATAAAAATGACATGTATTTTCAGAAATCCTCCTTTATAATAACTTGTTATAACTTACTACGGTATTTGTGCAACAACTTTATCAAGGTTCATTAATGGCTTATATGGTTTACAGATTAAACATGATCATTAAAGTATAACTTCACCCCAACGTCTGAGCTGCAGTCCGCTCAGCTCATATTCTTGTACCATGAGGTCACAACCACTGTTCCCCCAGATGCTGACGGCGTGATTTCCACAGATAGAAAACATGTTTGGGATTAGGATTTTGAACAGTAGGTGGTGTTTTAAGCCATAAATTGTGTAAGAGATTTCAACATTAACATCAGTATTGGGGTATTTTTTGCCCAAATATGGCCCCGTTGTTGGTTAATTGCTTTAAATGTAAAGTTGCCACTAGAAGAAGAACATTTTGTTAGTTTGTTACGTTAGTTTTTCTGTCAGGCTGTATTGAGGAACAGCAATGCTTTGAGCTAAATGCTAACGTCAGTGTTATAAGACGCTAACATGGTTACTATGGTCGACTGAATTAATCTAGAAGGGGACGTGAATATCCCAAAACTCATTGCGATTAATTCAAAAATGTTTGCGAGATTTTACTTAAAACAACACACAAAGACATATCAGTCTCATTAGAGGTAATTAGAGGTAAACTTATGGGATCACCAAGTTCATTAGGATCATCCTCTGCGGACTAAGAATGTCTACATCAAATATTATGGCGACCCATCAATGAAGACGTTGTTAAGCGTACACCCTAAAGTTGGCCTCAGCAGAAAGAAGAACCATTATTTGTCCGTCTTTTAACATTTCATGCGTCATGCAGGTCAAAGCGGAGCGGGAAACAACTGGGCCAAAGGTCACTACACCGAGGGCGCTGAGCTGGTGGACTCCGTGATGGACGTGGTGAGGAAGGAGTCGGAGAACTGCGACTGCCTGCAGGGATTTCAGCTCACCCACTCGCTGGGTGGAGGCACGGGTTCAGGAATGGGCACACTGCTCATCAGCAAGATCCGCGAGGAGTACCCCGACCGCATCATGAACACCTTCAGCGTCATGCCGTCCCCGAAGGTGTCCGACACCGTGGTGGAGCCTTACAACGCCACCCTCTCGGTCCACCAGCTGGTGGAGAACACGGACGAGACCTTCAGCATTGACAATGAGGCCCTGTACGACATTTGCTTCCGCACCCTGAAGCTGACCACGCCCACCTACGGCGACCTCAATCACCTGGTGTCCGCCACCATGAGCGGCGTGACCACCTGTCTCCGCTTCCCCGGCCAGCTCAACGCTGACCTCCGTAAGCTGGCTGTCAACATGGTGCCCTTCCCCCGCCTGCATTTCTTCATGCCGGGCTTCGCGCCGCTCACGAGCAGGGGCAGTCAGCAGTATCGCGCCCTCTCCGTGCCGGAGCTCACGCAGCAAATGTTCGACGCCAAGAACATGATGGCCGCCTGCGACCCTCGCCACGGGCGCTACCTCACGGTGGCAGCCATCTTCCGCGGCCGCATGTCAATGAAGGAAGTGGACGAGCAGATGTTAAACGTGCAGAACAAGAACAGCAGCTACTTTGTCGAATGGATTCCCAACAATGTCAAGACGGCCGTCTGCGACATCCCTCCCCGCGGCCTCAAAATGTCCGCCACCTTCATCGGGAACAGCACGGCCATCCAGGAGCTGTTCAGAAGGATCTCCGAGCAGTTCACGGCCATGTTCCGCCGCAAGGCCTTCCTCCACTGGTACACGGGCGAGGGAATGGACGAGATGGAGTTCACGGAGGCCGAGAGCAACATGAACGACCTGGTGTCCGAGTACCAGCAGTACCAGGACGCCACCGTTGATGAGATGGGCGAATATGAAGAAGATGAGATCGAGGACGAGGAAGACGTGCGTCACGATGTTCGCCACTGATTGAAAAACACTGATACTCTGACTATACTTGTTGTAAACATAGCTGCTTAGCTACACTTATTTCGCAGATAGATACACAGCTTATTACCGACCGAGAGTTCGAGGGTCGTTACAACCTAAAAAATATGCAACGATAGTAATTGGTTTTCCAAGTCATGCTTTGCCAATGTAAAAAATAAGTACAGTCTTGTTCCAAACGTAGTTTTGTAAAGTTTTCTTCAACATGCATTCATTGTGTCAATAAATATGATCAAGAACAGATCCGGTCCTGTCAGTACTTCATGTTTTATCTGGTAGTTACACCGATGACAAGGATAATAATATATTAAATATATATATCTTATATTAAGAATATTTAATTCTATATATTTTGTATAGTTCAAAATATATACAGTTTTCCAGCCTTATCCCATGTTGTACTAATTTGAAAGAGAACACATTTAGCTCTTTTAAAGCCAAACAGATACAGTACGTTTTAATATGTAGAGTCAAGTAACCACAAGCCTCAACTGCCATTGGTGACATTCTGATTTACGGCCTTTTCATGCAGATGAAAAGGCAGATTGCGACACGTATGAGCAACCAGGAAGGAGCTGAGTGAAAGTGAATATCTTTCTGCAACATGCAGATGCAGAACATTCAAAAGATGCAGTGATCACCGAGAGGCCGACAAAGAATCACGCCAAGTGGAGACAAGAGCGGAATTAGACGTTTGAGCTCCTTCTTTAGGGTTTTTAAGTATGTTCATAACTTTTAGCCACACGCCAGTAATGTGTCATACCAGGATCTTTCCGTTTAAAAGTTGATGATAAACGTCAGCTCGACGTGGCCAAAAGAGAAAAAACAAGGAGAGAAAAACATCCGGACCGACGTGATGTGCTGCTGTAACCGACATGGGAATGTAGATTATCTGTTCTGTTTGTGTTTTTTGTAAATGATTAAATCCTTTCCCCGTCTTACCGTCACAATGGCGTTTTGTTTTGTGAAGGTAAGTCGTGTGGCGATAATGTCGCTGTAATGTTTGGGATGTGTGAATCATTGTGGTGAATGGACTGTGTTCTTTGGGTTGTAGTTAAACAACAGCGTGGCGCAGAGAGCAAGTTATCTGTGTCGGTTCTCTGTGCAGGTGGCAATAAACGAGAAAAACGAGAAGAATTGCCTCCTTGGAGTCTTCAATCTTCACTTCACTTCACTTCAATCACATGCCTGCAAATATGTCCTCCACATGTGTAGCCCTGAGCCTGAAAATAAATGTCTTTCTGCGGTGAGAAGATACACATCAGCACGCACAACGGGTTTCTTAAAAGCTGTTGGTTTGACCTGAGATGAGGAAGATAAAGGCACAACAGGGTTTTATTTGCATTTGTAAATCCTGTTTTTACCACTTTAGAGTAAAAAAAGATGAACTGCCTCTCAGCTCTGCTTGGAAAGATGAAAACTTTTAGCTTTTTTTACAGACCATGTCTGATTTAAAATCACACTTTGACCATTTTCAAACTTTACATGCATGCTAGTTTTCCGACAGAAACCTGATATGCGACATTCTCTTTTTTGTTTGGAGATATGCGGACGGTCTATAGGTCAAGGATTTAAAGTTATTGACCTTTCAAACTCCAGTCAGCACCAAAACTGCTGGTGTTGTAGAACATTAGACAGTGAAAGGGTGAAACATTCATTCATTCATGATGGACAGTTTTAAATATAGTATTTATAATCCCCTTATACGTGTATAAAACTATTTCTGAGTACAGTTCAGTGAAAAGATTTTTTTTTAAACTTGATTTGCAGTTACAGGAAAGACGGTTAATGTGGATGTTCCCCTTTCAGCAAGATGACCAAAGCATTGCATCAGTAAAACGTGTCTCTTTAACCTGACCCTTTGTGGAGCGTCTCCCATGTATCTTTCTATGTCAAAGCAGAAAAAAGGACAACACAAAATCTCTTTTACATCTGATTTTATTACAACAGGATGTGCAAAACGTCTCATCAATGTGTCTGACACGGCTGCTTCAGCGCAGTCCGTTAATAAAACAATATGCAGTCTGCGATATTCGTGCAGCACATTCAACACTCCAGCTGGAAATACAACACATCAGTAGCAAATACAGCAATATTACAATCATTCTATTACATGTTTTCTGTGCTTGCCAAGCTTGTCTATCATTTATCCGGCTATCCCCACACCCCATGTATGTTACCTTTATACACGTATACTCACACACAGCGAGAGATGGAGGAACACACAATAAAACAACATATTAAAAGCCGTATTTAATAATATGTTTGTAAAAATAAGGTCGTCGGTTAAAATGTACCTCTTTGTTTTTCTTTTTTCTTACGGAATTGGCACTTAGATCCTTTGGAATGAACACTTTTAGAAAATCCAAATTAAAAAACACAGCTCAGCAGAAATAATAGAAAGCTTTACTTTTTTTATTAGATTTAAGTACAACACATTTTAGATGTTTTTTAGTCGTCTCTTCTTTGGTTTACAGTCTGTGGTGACTATTTTATCTATTGATAAGAAACGTGTCAGTTCTACACACAAACAGAATTAGCAGACGCAAGCAGAAACATGTTTCACCGTTTAGTTACAGATAAACACGTTTATTAACAGCATGTTCATTAAATCTTGTTAGTTAGTTACAGTTTAACAAAATTCAACAGTGTAAATGTTGCAGAAAGGCTTATTATTATGAATATTATGAAACCCAACCAAAGCATCTATAGAATCACACCCCGCTAACAACATAATTCAATACCTCAAGAGGTATAATTTCAGTAATAACCCTTATTCTAACAGAACCTTTGACAAGTGACATAAGAGGCATTTTCTATGTGCCATTTTCTATCTATAAACATGTTAATCCGTAGCAATGACAGGACTATTTACACGGGGGGATTGGGGTCTAGTCGACGCCGCTCTTGTTGTTTGTGGGCTGCTTTTTTAATTTTCCTGTGGGTTGGGAGATAAGATCCGCCGTTTGCCGTTTGTGTTCAGCTCCAGTTCTAGTTGTGTTTACTTTAGCTGCTCCCACCGCTGAAGCCATTCGAGTTCTGTTCCTCAAATAAATACAGGGTCTTTAAGGCCGTCATTCTGTGTAGAAACGAGTCATGTGATGCGTAATAAAAAGAGTTTCTTTGTTCCAGTTATATTCTTGATAGGAATACTAGCTAGTGTGTAGAGGTAGCCTACAAAACATTTATACACTTTTTAGTGTGAGCACATTTTTTAATTTATTTAAAAATATTTTACTATACAAAATTGAGTGGAAATCCAATTCTCTGTGGCTCCAATAGTGAGATAGTCAATATCACACGTTAACTACAGTCAGTTGTGTAACAAATTAAACAATCCTTTTACCAGTTTTTTTTCCCCATTTCATCACAATCTCTCTATCTACACGAACATATGTGTATTTATTTACAGCATTACGCTTTAATGCAGTAAAATATGTTTCAGAACATATCAAACAAGTGTGACATTAGTTGAACTGCAGAGAAAAGCGGTTGCTTCAGGCTCTTGTACTAGACTCCATGTTCCTCTCAGTGACTGAGACCTTCTTACGTTGCACAACGACTCTCTGTGTGCCTTGTGATTTGGGCGCGGCTGCCTGAGCAAAGTCCTCATTCGACCCTGTGGCCCTGTCGGAATACCGTGAAAAACTCTGTGTTTGAACCTGAAAACCTTGATCTCTGATCTCCGGACTCTGCTCCGCAAACCCGTGTGCTATCTGACCGATTCCCTGTGCCAAGCTCACCCCTTGCTCCCTACCTGAGGACCCATCCTCCACCAAGAACACTTGCCTGGATCTGGAGAGGCTTGATTGTGAAATACCTTGCCCGACCTGCCCTGACACACCCCCCGTTCCTACGTGTCTATCTACCAGCACCACGCCCTGAGTTCCTTGCATGCCGCTAACCTGCACCAGCCCCTGACTGAGCCCGACTTGGCCTACTTGACCTACCGCATGCTGGGTCCCCCCCGCCACCAGCACCATTTGGGGATTGGGCTCGACCACATACATGGGAGAGGCGGCGTAGTACATCGTGGGCTGCTGCACGAGCAGCGTCTGACTGGGAACCACAATGTGGTCTTGGACTTGTACCCTGGGAGCAGTGGCTGAACCGCGGGTTCTCTCAGTGATTCGCTCCTCCTGCACAATGGTGGAGGATCCGGATGCCACATTGGAGGTGTTGAGGGTGTTGATGTTCACGTGGTCCCGGCTCCTGTCCCTGGTTGTCTCTGTGTGAGCACTGACGTGGGTGCGGGTGGAGGGCCAGACAGGGGACACTGGTCTGGGTTGAGAGAACGAAACCCGTGCATCCACGGAATCGACGGCCGACACCTTGCAGATCTCAGCCAGGGTTTTGAATTTAGGCCCAAGGTCATCAAGGAAGGCAAGGTCGTCGTCGTTGTCAAGAAGGCTGCAGCAACCTACAGACCCTGCCAGGGACTCCCGGCCTTCGTAGTCATAGACCAGAAGACCGTCCTTTTCCTGCGATTGGTGAGCAGCATGGTCGGATTGCTGCAATTAAATGGAACCAGAATACATTTTCGTTATAAAAACAAACCATTTGATTCACATTCGCAAGATTTTGTTAGAAACCCTTTTGACTTGAGTGTTTTATGTCCTCACGCGTGAATAATAGTCCGCCAGGAAGTGATCCGATAGAGCCATCCCATCAAAGGCCTCAGCTCTGTACCGGGAGAAGAGCCGCTCTCGTCCTGCCATCATCCCAGCGTCCACGTAGTCCATCCCCACCTGCCCACTGGAGACGTGATGTTGGTTGTACAGGTCCTGGTTCTCGCGTGAGAAGGAGTTGTGTAGGGCAGCGCCTCCGCCTGCTACGCCTCCTAGTTCAACCATTCCTCCTGGGTACCCCTTTGCCCCAAAGCTGTTGTTGTTGACTGTGCCAACATTAACTTGCTCCGGCACATATAGAAGAGGAACTTCCTGTGGGACAAATGTAACATCCCATCAGAGATGAAGCCCTTCAGGCAAACCTTTTTAAAACGAAATATATAAAAACCTGGTTTACGTATTGTGTACTGATCAACTTACCCGGTCATCTCCCTGTCCCTCGGTGTGATATGCGATGAGCTGCTGTTTTGTATCAAATGGAATGGCCTTGAAATCTCCAATTGCTGCAGCACCTCCACACAGGCAGAACAGCAGCAGAAGGGGAAGCACTGGGAAATCAAGTCAACAGAAATAACTATAAAACCTGCACTCAAATAAAGTCAACCAGTGAATTAGATTTCATTAACAAAACTGCTCCCGGCCGTGGCGGCTGGCGGATTCTTTTCAATCCGTTTCAGTAAACATCTCAGTATGATTCAATGCAAAAAAGGGTTTCAAACATGCATTATTACTTTGCAGTTAAATATTTATTCCAATAGTTTAACATCTTATTCAAATAATTCAATATATATATATATATATATATATATATATATATATGCACAAAATCTATGCTTTTCATGCACCTGTGTACATATACATATATTATATATATAATAATAATAATATAATAAATAAACTAAAATGAATAAAACTCCCCATTGCCCTCTGTGGACCAGCTGCCACTGGCTCACCACAACAAATAATAGTGTAGTTGAGGTTGATAAAAAAGTGCACATCAGTAACTCCCAACATGTCTGGTTATTCAACCTTGTAAGTTGTAAAGTTGATGATGTTTAAGAAAATAACCAACCAGGGGGACAAATTCAAACGGTAACACTCGACTCACACAGCAGAAGCAGCAGTCCCAGGAGCATCAGCAGGACCCCCGAAGCCCCGAAAGCGGTGGTCTTTGCAGCGCGGGAGCTACAATTCCTTGTGCTGGTATCGCAATTGCACACGATGACGTCCATCACCTGAACAGGAGCGCACGACTTTCCTTGCTGGTCTTTGACCTCCACTGCCACTGTGTACTTGCCGGGCCACAGCTTGGCTTGGTCTCGCAGAATGGCTGTGGTCTCTAGAGAAAGGTGCAAATAAAAAAAGGTGCACAACATTATTAAGAAATGTGGTTGGTTGGTGTTTTATTCTAAATAGCACTTCTTACGGTCTACACACTGTAATATGAAATAATATTAAAACCTAGAATGACCTTTTCCCAACCAGCGTCTCTGTAACACCAGTAATAAAGCCCTACCCTGAAACACACCTAGGTGCAATGTTGGTGCAACAATGCATTCCAATGCTTTTAGCAATTATTCTGGGGGCAAACCACACCTGGCTAGCTAATTCTGGAGCTTAAAATATTATACATTTGTAGCAACAGAACCTGTTTGTGGTATTCAAACAAAATTATACCATCTGAAGACAATGAAATGACAAATTACAACCAACGCACTGAAATCATCTTATTATAATCTAATCATCTTACCATTAAAATGCTCCACTGTCCATTTCTCCTTTCGCCCCCCCTGAATCACCGAGAACTCAAATGGTGCAGAATTGGGGAAATTGTCTTTGTCTACGGCCGTGACGTAGATCACATTATCCTCGACGCACATGTGCTGGCTTTTAGTGGTCAGTTCCGGACAGTGGTCGTTGAAGTCCTCCACCTGGATGGCTATGGTCCCTGTGGCCGTCTGGGAGGGAACCTCTGAAAATCAATCCAAAGACAGATGGATGTTAAACCTGCACGATCTCGGTCCACTGGAGAAGAGTGATGATTTGGACCCAACTCACCGTTGGTGGTGCATATGATTTGGGCATAATATGTTCCGTTGATCAAGAACTTGGACTCTCTGTCGGGTAGTTTATTCAGCTTGATGTCTCCTGTTCTTTCATCGATAATCAGCCAGTTGTCGTCATCTTTGAGTTTGGCATACCTAAGAATATGAAATGACATGCGATGAAGAAAGGAAACATATTTACAATATTCCATTGAAAAGCCACAAAGAGCCGCCTGTCCAACGCACCGTACGTTGGAGGCAATCTTCAGCGTGTCGCTGTCGATGGCAGCGTAGTTGGCGATGACTTTTTGGATGGAGGTGACGGTGTGGTCCTCAGAGATAGTCACCACTTTGACGCTTGGTTGGAATCGGGGACCTTCCTTCTCGTTCAGCACGTTGATATTGACCCGGTAGGGTTTTTGCGTAGTGGAACCGGTTAGAGCTCCGCTGCCAAAGCTGTACGCTGCTTTGTTGGAAACAGCCACTTGCAAGTTGACCGACTTTTGTTCCTCATAGTCCAAGGCCTGCACATTTAAGCATAACGCACGGACACATGAGCTCCGCCAGCAATGTTTGCTCTTTGGATCAAAATGTGACCTCGCCCTTTACCTTGTGAATCATGATAATTCCCTCGTTGGTCTGAGAATCCGTGGTGATGCTGAAGATGCCGGCCTCGTTCCCCGAAACAATGTTGTACGCGGCGAGCCAGTTGTCCGTGTGAATGAGATCCATGTCGACGGCTTTGATCCTCATCACCTCCACGTTGATAGTGTTCTCCTGTATACTCCCTTCGTACTGCAAGTAAAACAGCATTGTTATACAGAGGAACAGAGCGCTGGTTGTGGTGATTGTGTCGCACCTACCGATTCTTTCTCCAGGGTCGGAATATTGTCGTTTATGTCTTGAATTTTGACCGTAATTTCACCCGTTCCTGTGTTTCCTCCACGTTGCCCATTCAAGTCGGAGACTCTTATTTTCAACGTGTAAGTATCTTGTCTCTGAAGAATAGATAAGGTATACAATGCACCGGTTAATACGCTCTAATAATAAATAATAATTGTGTCATAAAATGGCTGGGAAACGCACAAAAGTGACTCAACGGAGAATTGTGTTTTTGATGGAAAATAGCGGATTTACAAAGTGTGATCATTCTAAATGTCTCCTCGCTGTATCATGAGCTGAGGGACATTCCAATGAAAACAGCTGGTTGGCCTTGAGAATCAGTTGCGGTCAGTTTAGTGCCTCACCTCCCTGTCCAGAGTGTTGCGTCGAACCATGACCTCCCCAGTCTGAGAGTTGATGAAGAACATGCCAGCTGTGTTACTCTGCTCCACAATGCTGTAGTGGATCTGGGAGTGCGGCGAGTTCTTTTCATCATCATCAGTAGCTATAACTTTCATCACAACCGTACCTGGGAATCACCAACAAAAACAACGGGATTGAGTTCATTGAGCACAGGATGAACATTTAGCGCTTACAATTGTATTGGAAGCTTCTTGAAACAACCTTCTGCACTTGATTCGTTGACGGATCCGACTTGCTGTACTTTGATGACCGGTGGGCAGTCGTTCACGTCCAAAACAACGATGTTAAGCTCGATATCCTTTTCAGCTCTGGTCCCGTCAGCGTACTTTGCGATTCCTGTTAACTACAAAAAAAAAGAAGCGAAACTACTTAAACATCTTCTCCAAGTAGAACCGGAGGGCTTGACTGTAAGAAATGTTTAAGTGCTCTTACTTTGTAGGAAGAAATCTTCTCTCGGTCCAGAATGGAATAGATTTTCACAAATCCAGTTCGACGGTCGATACCAAACGTCCCTATGGGGGGCTGGTCAACACCAGGCCCTTCTAGATAGTAAAATATCGTTGTGTAGTTGATCTTATCAGAGTTTATCTGAAACAGAAATACACAAAGAGAAAATGAATCCACTTGATCTGGGTTTCTAGCATCTTCCAAAGACAAGGGAAGGTGTAAAGAGACCTTATTTTTGTTGATTTGTAATATAACAATTAATCTTTGTAACCGTAATCGATGAGGCATTCAGTTCATGTGAATGAAGTAAAAAGATAAACGAGAGAAAAGAAACCGAATGTACTGTAATCACATCTTCATATCTCATCTTATACTTCTACCTCACTACGTTTCACCTAAATCAATTTATTCCAATTACTCTCCAAATAAAGATTTTACATTCAATACATACAATCCGTTTATAATATATGATCTTTTATTAAAGATTCAATTCTAAATAAAGCCCCTGGCTGGAACTACTATTCACTGACTGCAACGGCTGGATGTAGGATTCTAACTTGTAATGGAGTATTTTTTATACTGTGATAATAAAATGTTTTATCATCCAAACAGTTTTTAAATTAAACAATAATTCCATTAACTGTTTGATCATATTCAGCTGAGAGGCGAAGGCAGGTGAGCAGGCAGGTGAGTGGATTCATTCACTCATCGCTGAGTCAAAGTAAGCAGGTGATGATCTAATCCTGAGTAACGGAACCAGAGAGGTGACGCAATCAATTTGTGTGACAAAGGGACGTAATGTGAACGAGCCAACAGATACTATGGACATGGCCGCTGACACTTTAGTTCTTTAGAAAGAGAGGAAACAAGCACAAACCTTGGCGATGCTGTCGTAGGTGGTGTAGTCGTGGTTCTCGTACAGCTGTCTGGGAGCTATGATCCATTCTCGTTTGTGTCTCCGTACCTCGGGCCCGTTTCCTTCGGCCCCCACAAGAACCAGCTGCAGGGAAAGCATCAGGCAGGAACACTCAGTGTGATTGTGCAATGACCTTCCTGCCTCACCAGTGTCCCTCCTCACACACCGACAGAATAACATGGTCCATGTGTGCAGACAGCAGAGGGGTCGCTGTGTGATGAGTGAACCGTGAGCACGTTTAGATGCTTGTGAGGACTCTGGTCCTCTCCCCTGAAGGAGAATGTTCCTTTCCCGTCTTTGGCTATCGTTGCATTCCCGTTTGTTTCACTTGAAAACAACCCCCCCCCCCCTTCCTCCCCCCTCCTCCCGTTTCCGGGAGCAAAAGGCTCCCCCCCCCCCCCCGCCCGGAGAGAAGCCGGACCTGTTGCGGCGTCGGGCGGCGCGTCGACCCGGCGCAGGTACTCACAGTGACGGCGATGAGCAGCAGGGAACGAGGGCGGATCCGCCGCAGCGGAGCCGCCGCCTCCGACACCAGAACCGGCTGCATGGGTCTTCTTCTCCGAGCCAAACGGCGACGACTGGTCCGGGGCGGGTTCGCTACAGACTTCGACCCCTCTGGAGAGGGAGGCACTAGTTTTACAGCGAGGGGCGGTTCCTCTCCGGGTGGAGGTGGGTGGAGGGGGGGAGAGGAGGGGAGAGGAGGGGTGGAGAGGGGAGGGGGGGGCAATAAACGTCTGCGGCCCATTGTTTTCAGTAGGAAAAATAGAAAAAACAGCAGGCTGGAGGGAGAGGAAACCCGTCCACGGTGTCTGTGTGTCCAAACATGCTTTTATAATCCGCTTCATTTCATCAAAAGGGAAAAAAAGAACATGTTTGAAAATACATTTTGGTTTTGCAGTATTTGATCGAGCTTGTTTTTATTTATTATCACGGTTAAAGTGTTGTTTGTGTGTTTTTCACAGGACTGGGAGCCTCTCGGGCCCAACGTTGACATAGTCCCGTGAAAGCTGCCGCGTTGCCGTGACATTCCCAGTGTGCGCAGTGAGCTGCCCAGCGGCCTGGGACACTGGCTGCACGTAGACGGACTTTCCTTAACAAAGAAACGGGGAAGGGGGGGGGGGAGAAGTTTCCGTTGCCGGGATACGAGTAACTTTTACTCCCAGTGTTGTGTGGGGGAGGAATGTCCCTTATCAGCTTCATCCTGTACGATGAAGCCGCGAGTAGCTGGAAATGCATCGTGACACATTAGTCTGAGAGCAGAGGGCAGTTTGCTGGGATTCTGCAGCCAAGTGTCATTTCTTACCCACAGTCAGACCGATTGTTAAGTCAGGAACCACGTATGCCCCATTGGCTCGTGCATGTTTCTTAGCAACCCGAGCACAAAGGTGAAAGGGCGGTTTCCACAGCACCATGAATACACAATACGCACTTGTGCTGTGGGAGCTACACGCTTTAGTTTCGCCACAATCTCAACATTATCAACCCAACACGCAATAGATTGAAACAGTAACAAGGCCGATGAGCAAAGTGCAGCAGGGTGAGTGTGTAACGTGAGCCGGTGTGTCGTGTTCGTCTGGCTGGAATAAACAAACCCCATCACAGTACCACGTTGTCCTGCGTACATTGTTATTGTATGCTTGCTGTCACGCAGGCGGCCTCCTCTGAACCAGATTGGGCAACATCATATCGGTACACCCAGTGTCATACCTGGGAAGGCGCAGTCAACAGATGTGATGAAAAGGTGATTCACTGTACAGTACGTTTCCTTTTACTTCTTTTTGTGTCTTTGCGTCACGTTCATGCCAAGACGCTGTGGCTTTCTCCAAACTGTCTAATTCAGCAGGAACGTCATAGTTCCTGATGCTTAGGAGGTGACTGATCTGACGACGTATTTCACATTTGGGAGGGAGAGTTCTGCCATTGTGTCAACAGGTGAATAAGCAGGATAACGAGTCTATCGGCTCAAACCCACACAGCACGAGTACGACCAAAACCTTCGCATTTACTCCGAGAACACCCAGCAAACCGAGCCCTCCCAGCACGTCCACGCCCATGACTCACAGGACATTTTTCTCACGTTTCCAGTTTGCTGCTTCACGCAGGCCCACTAAGTCCGGCACTCTCTCCGGGCCACGTTGCAAAGAACAGGGGCCCAGTGTTGCTGGCTCTGACCCAGCAAACCTTTATCAGCACTTGATAGAGATAGTGGGAGCGTTGGGCGAGCAGAGAGCCTCCCCCGCACCAGGCTCCCATTACAGGCACACATTCCTGCGGCGCTGAGCGAGGAGCCCACTTCTGATCCTCATGGCAGAAGCTCCAGTGGGGCTGCAGAGGAGGGAGCATGCAGGGGTCAAGTGCTTACACCAAAGGACACATAATCAAGTTTTCTAAAACATGGACACGTTTACTTCCCTCCCCCTGCAGCCCGCACAACCAAACGCACACGCTGGGCATCTCTAGAAACCAAATAGGACATTTTGTTTTCTCGGATACGGCGGAACAATAATACAAATCTATGCAAGTAGTTTTTAGTGTCTGCGAAAAAAAATAGGAAGTAAAAGACAATAACATGCGTTGCGCACAATGGCGGGCGGCACCGCCCGGCCCATCCCCGCGGAGCCCGACGGGGAGGCGCACGCTCTGGGTGTGGCGGCCGAGGTGTGTCCGCCCGGTGACGCGGTGCCAGCAGCGACATACCGCGGGGTGCGCGCGCAAAGTCCGCCGGGCTCCGACGCGCGGACACACTGTCTCCCTGGGAAGCTCCTCGTGCGGACGCAACTCCGCGGGCGACTTCGGACCAAGTGCGTCCACGGCTTCCTCCAACAATGGCGACTGTTTTACTTGTCAGCGTCTGCGCGCTGTTGGTGAGTTTCTACTTTAAATCTTCCTCTCGGCCGCTGAGCGGTTTTTATTACGTGTATTCAGAGATTGAACTCAACGAGCGGTTTTGAAACTCTGCAGATGTTTTCCGGTGTGACTCGGTGTTTGATCCCGAGCTCCGTGTACGTCATCGTTCCCAACACGCTCCAACCTGGATCATACGTCTCCACAGGTGTGCTTCTGCGCCCATCGGCATGTCGACGCGTTCTCCGTGCAATATGGTGTCGTGCATTGATTTATGTGTGTGTTGACCCCCCCCCCCCCCCCCCCCTCCCCTCCTCCCCCCGGTCCTCAGTTCAACTTCACCACTGTGATACCAAATCCACGCGTTTGACGTCGAGCGACCCGAGCTTCGCGGTGTCGAGCAGCGGGGTGATAGAGACCTCCGGGTCGGTGTCGGTGTCGGCGGCGGGCCGGACGTTCTCCGTGAGAGCGCGCGACCGCAGCAGCGGGGCGGGAGAGCGAGATGCGCGTCCACCTCGTCCACCGCGCCGTGTCCAAACGACAGGTGAGCGCGAGCCCGGCCGCGCGCGCGGTCAGCAGCGTTATACGTGTCGAAAGTTTTAACCCCCCCCTCGTGTCCCAGGCGCAGTCGGGCGTCCTGAAGCGCTTCAAGAGACGCTGGAGCCCCCCACCCTTCAACATCCTGGAGAACACGCCGGAAGTCCGAGCCCGAGCGATCGAGACGGTAAACTGCTGAAAATAAAAGCGATCATGTTACGATTGTGTTTCATATTTAATGACACTGCATCGGCCACACAAACACATTTTCTTCTTCTTATTGGTTTTTCCCACCCGGATGGTGATAATCCCACCTGGGCCCGACTGTCCAATCACATCACTTTCCACTGACTTCAAACTGTAACTCATTTCTTTGCTTATTACCACTCGGTTGCCTGTTGGATTCCGTGTTCAGCGGCTGTTCTTTTCATTTGCAGATCGTATCGGACGCAGAAGCCCAGTTCAGACTGTACTACACCATCGGCGGCCCGGGCGTGGATCAGCCTCCAGTGGGGGTGTTCAGTCTTAACAGGACGGGGACGCTGTTTGTGCATAAACAAGTCGACCGCGAGGAGTTCCCTCGGTTTACAGTGAGTGTGAAACCAATCATTATTTGCCATTTATCTCATTATTTTCTCGGAGAAGGGATCTTGGTTCATAAAATGCCCCAAAACTGTGAAAAATGCCCCCATCAACACTCACGTGGAATAATGCATCGGTGATATTGCTGCTTAAAGGCCCTTTAAATGACTAATCCGTCATTGAAAGTGAATTTTTCTCCTCAAAGTTAACAGTTCGAGCTTTCGACAAAATCACCAACGAGGAGCGAGACGAGCCTTTGGACATCCGAATAGATGTGGACGACGTGAACGACAACGCTCCGACCTTCACAGGCCCACAGCAGTACACTGTGCTCGAGCAGAGCGTTGTAGGTGAGCAACGGGAAGCCGCCACAAGTAATCCCGCCGCGTTGGACCTCCAGTCGGCGGGGGGGCCGGGATAAACTCCGTGTTCGTGTTTCACACCACAGGGACAGTGGTGGGGAAGGTGAACGCCACAGACAAAGACCAGGCAGGAACCCTCCACGTCAAGATCCGGTATTCCCTCAAGACCGGATTAGACCTGTTTGCCATCGACCCGGGAACGGGTGTCATCACCACGGCAACCAACACGCTGGACAGAGAGGTGAATGAATTCCCCGTGATTGTGAAAAGGAGATCATACAATCGGCGCATCTCTGTGTCCCGCCTCACCGCGACCCTCTGCGTCGTGTCGCTTTAGGTCAAAGACAAGCATTTGGTGGTTGTAGAGATCCGAGATATGGACGGTGCCGTCTCCGGTCTGTTCAACACAGCAACCGCCACCATTGCTGTGGGCGACATCAACGACAACCCACCGACCTTCCCGCAAACATCTGTAAGTGATGAGCGGTTAATGGAAAAAGACTAAAGAAAATCCCAACCACGTCTTTCTGTTTTTTTACATGAATTATTTGTGTTTTGCTTGATTTAAGTAACACGCTCTTTGTGTCCTTTTAGTACACGGCCAGTATCGCAGAAAACGAGATGGAAAAACTTATCCTTCGAATTCCCATTGATGATAAGGACTTAATTACAACACCAAACTGGATTTCCAAATTTGTCATCACAAAAGGAAATGAGAACGGAAATTTCAGAATTGATACCGACCCCAAAACCAACGAGGGGCTTCTGTACGTCTCAAAAGTGAGTGAGATTTCATATAATTAATAATAAAGCAGTCGTTATGCAGCGTGATATTGATATGTCACTGTAACACAGCAGTAAAAAAGATTTGTGCATTTCCCTGTTTTTCCAGCCTTTAGATTTTGAGCAGACCTCAAATGTGAACCTTGAGATTATGGCACGCAATGAGGCCGAACTGGTCGGCACCACGGCCCAATGGATGTCCGTCCCTGTGAACGTCGTGGTCAACAATGTAGATGAGGGCCCGCAATTCTCGGCCCCAACCATCCGCCTGAATGTCAAAGAGAACACAGCCAACGGCACGCTGATCGGAACCTACACGGCTCTGGACCCCGAGACCAAGAGCAGCGCCGGCATCATGTAAGCAGTTGGCCGTCCCACGGCGCAGTGCAGCGGACGCAGTTGCAGACCCCATTTTGCTTTTCTTTAACACTGGATGTGGCTAACGCTAGTGTGTGTGTGTGTGTGTGTGTGTGTGTGCCACCTTCTCTCAGGTACTTCAAGGCCACGGACCCGGCGTCCTGGATCAATGTGGACAGAAACAACGGGGAGCTGAGGGTGGCAAACACAATCGACAGAGAGTCCGACTTTGTCCAGAATGGAATTTACAACATCACCGTGAGGGCTGTTGATGCTAGTGAGTTCCTCGTAGTTTCCTTTGGACGCTCCAAGCTGAACCGAGACGCTGTCACGGCGGCAGAAACGTAGCGACGGGGGGAAGGAACGAAACCAATTTGAACGGGTAGACTAATTGTTCTTGTAGTCTCCTGTACTTCAATAAATCTGAGGAAGAAGAATCACATTAATTTCACCAACTCACGCAACTCCCTTTGGGTGTGGTCACTTTGCAAAGCCAGAGAACGGTGCCGTGAGAAAGTGTTTGGTCTGCATGTCAATCAACACAGACGCCGCCTTCAAGCCCTCGGGTCATCTTGTAAGAAAGTTATTACCAAACACCGGCTCCACCCTCGCCAGTATCTGTCTGAACAAACACAAGGTCTTTGTATCGGCTCAGAGCGACTGCTGACGTGTTCAGTATTTCACAATAACTCGCTGTCGTCTGATGTCGTGGTGAAAATTGGGCTCACTCCCATCTGCTTGTCTCATATTGCTGATTATTCACATGTCCAACTTTTCTGTGTAATTTACTGCGTCGACATGCCTTATATATTATATTTATGTTTTGCTAATGTAATTCCCATGTGTTCCAGGTGCCAAGACGGGAACAGGAACAGTCATCATCGTGGTGGAGGACGTCAACGACAACCTCCCCACGCTTCCCGCCCGAGACTTGGTGATGTGCGAGAAGGAAGGAGAGCTGGGCTCCATGCTGGTCACAGCTGAAGACCTGGACCGCGCTCCCTTTTCTTCCCCCTTCAGCTTCAGTCTGCCAAGTGATCACGATGGCAAATGGTCCATCACCAAATATAATGGTAGGTTCCTTTATCTTCTGGGTCTGTGTCTTTTAGACACAATAACAGCTTCAATGCATTATGAAAACATCGGTTAAAGCTCAGCAATGTGTAAACGTATTTTGATATATACGACCAAAATATGTTAGAAAAATAACCCAGTCACACAATGGCCAGTGAATAAGTCAGGCATACAATTACAGCTTGACTGATCCATCCATTGTTGAGGCTCGAGACCCGCATTACTCTGGTATAACAGAGTAAGTTTTACGTATGTTAAAGTGTTGATACTGGTATTTTACTTTATATCATATTTTAAGAGCACATTTTATGTTTTGTAACTTTAGCTGTTACAGAAAAATGTAACTAGTTACTTTCGAGCACTGAAAGGATACGAAAGATCATCAGGTGGTGAAATAATAGCCAATATGTTTTTATCTATAAAACCTTTTATTATGAAAATTATTTTTCTTTTTCTTCTAAATTGTACCATCTATAAGCATCTCGAGTTCTAAAAAGTCAACTTGTGCACTCTGGTGGACAAACACGGTAATGATGTCGTCGTTGAAAAGTACGGCAATTTCTCATTGGGCAACTTGTGTTCTAATACGAATCTATAAAACATCTACGCTGGACCGGTTTTCTCTCTGATCATCACCTTTAAAAAAAAATGTAAACGTGTTTCCTCCTCAGACACGTCAGCTACGTTGAAGCAGATGAAAGAGCTTCCAACTGGAAGACACACTGTTCCCGTGGACATCAAAGACCTGCAGGGCGCCGGTAAAACGCAGACGGCAACAGTGAGGATCTGCAGCTGCAGGAACAACCAATGCATCGTCAACCCCAACTCTGTGTCGTTCGGGCCAATGGGTTTACTGGCTCTGCTGTTGCCTCTGTTCCTCCTCCTGCTGCTCGGTGAGTCTCCCGCCGTGTTAGGCGGTGAAACAGTGTAAGCATGTGTGAAGGAGCCAGGAGAGTGATTGAAAGTCAGAGGTTCTGCCACTGAATTATGGGTAATATGTTGGCCCCACAGCAACTAGACGTGGTGCTATATGTGTATAGTTTCTACTGCCGTAACGCTCTCCACTTGTACGTGGAACACCGTTTGTTATAAAATGCAAATTCTTTTTTTTTTTTCACAGGCCTTCTGCTAGGATTTTTCTGCATGACAAAGACAGAGAAAAAAGAAATTGACGATATAGGAGACAATGGTGGGATCCTGCTCAAATCCAACACAGAGTCCCCGGGGGAGGAAGTGGTGAGGACACAATATTGAAACACTGCCTCGATAAAGTCTTCTCTTTCTTTCTCTCTTGCTGCATTTATTTAATTGTTACTTGTTTGTTTGCTTCCCGCAGGATCACAGCCTCATCGCTGGTCCCTACATTGTGACTGACTCCGTAGTGAAGGGCTCGGTTAAGGGGGTGAATTCAGCATGGTTAGCTAGCAACGGCTCCGGCACACTTGGTGCCAAAACCACCAACCCAATCTATAACTTCGACGTCGTCACATCTGATCTGGGCCAGTTCAGTTCTGGCCGGTACAACCAGTTTGAGGAGAATTATATGGGTAACAGCGAAGGCTTTGACAACAGATACCTCACCCAGGACTCGACTTACCTCCACAACTGGCAGACGAACGGCCTCTATCTAAACAAGGTAATGGTAATAAAAAGTCACAGTATAACAAAAAAAGATTCAAGATTGGGACGGTAGTTAAGAGTTGAAGAAAGCTGAAAAAGTGTGTGCACCTTAATAACTCGTTTTACCTGTACGGGCTGAGGTCACTGTGTAACATAGTCGTGTTCTCTAAACAGCAACAGTATCCCCCCGGACGCGCTCTTATGTCTCAACTGCTCGGTGACAGGTACCAATCTCACTGTCGTAACCTGAGCAGCTTGGCGTTGTCTCGCGGTGCGGCGTCTCCCCCACAGTAACAACACCCCCCCTCTTCCCTTCGCTCGCCCTGCAGAAGCTGACCTTCCTCGGAGGCGAGGACGACGGGCGGTACGCGGAGGACGTGGTCCTGCGCCACGCGTACGAGGGCGTGGGCTCCGCGGCCGGCTCCGTGGGATGCTGCAGCGACTTCGGCGACGACGATAACCTCGACTTCCTGAACGGGCTCGGACCCAAGTTCAAAGCGCTGGGAGAGCTCAGCAGAAAGAAATGAACCGCATGTGTGCCGGATGCACGGAGAGCTGAACGTCTGCCCCTGAACATGAATGAGATAAAGAACAAGCAGCTTGGCGCCGGCGTGCGCACGCCGCTCCGCTCTCATTAGTTTCTTTGCTGCTTTTTTTTTTGCAAAAGTCTTTAGCACTGAAAACTATTTGGATGCAGTCGTACGTGCGCTGTGACGTAGACTCATCCATCCATTTTCTACTCATGCTTCTCCATATAGAATGATATTTGCAGTGAGGGTTTTCTATGAGTGAAGGCTTTGGGGATTTGGGGAGTTAGTCATTTTTATAGTAAAAGATAGACTTTTGCATTTGTGTGCATACGTTTGAATTGCTTGCTCAGTTTTATAGTATGTTTGTCATATGTTTTTTAAAGAAAAAGAAAAGCCTATGAAATAAGACTAAAAGATTTCACATGAACATACTTGCTTTAAAATGTCATGTTTGTAAGTATTTATGGGTTTTAAATGATGTTACTTGACATTGGTTTGTTTGCTAGTTTTCTAACCCTTTGTGTAGTTGTGAATCACTGGTAACACGTTCTGCCCTTTGAGTCATGAGGTCGTTTCACATCCCGTTAAGGCGTCGCTGACTCTGCAACGGTTTTAATACCTGACTGACCAGATACAAGAAAAGAATTCCAAGAGAACATAGTCTAATTTGTATATATTGAGTTGTTGTAATTTGTCATAGTCATTAAAGAATGTTTATCTCTGTGAACTTGTGTCAGATGTAGTTTTTGTAGGTTTCTCTATTGTAATTTTGATTGAGTTTAGTGAGAAAACAGGTGTTTAAAAGTGAACTGGAACCCAAGACCGACGGTTACAGTATGATTCCAATAGCCTCAGTTTTAAAATGTTGCTTCTACTTTCCTGTGTGTGTCTGCAGCACGATGGAACAGAATGTGAGAGCAGTATAATTGTTATTGTGCCCAGTCTCTGTGTGCGTTACGGTGAATCATTTACTGGGAGCGGCCCTCTGAGCTTGCACAATACAAAGAGCACATAGTTACTACCGAGCCTCCCAGTTAATATCTACCCCCCGTCCTCAGCAGATCAAGTTGCTGCATTTAAACAGTATATTTGTGCCTTTTCTGTAACTTCCCTCATACTCACGGTGATGTGATCCACATTATTTTGTGACCAGAAAACGACCTGTAAAAAGACTTTTCAAAGGCAGTAAAGTCCCAGTAGGATCCAATTAATGTAGTTTGTAATCCATTATTTATAATTTGTTTAAAATGGTGCCATATGATAGCAGGCTTAACTATTTCACACAGTTTCCATGAATAATTAACATAGGATAGTAAATGTGTTCTTGATGTCGTCCCGCTTTGGCCGATTACAGATTAATAATGTATGGAGATCATTTCTGTTTTAAGGCATCGGTGTGCAATTGCCAAACTTTTCTTTCAATGACATGCAGATCGTGGACCAGTGGGATGAATTACAAATCCGAAGCTGGGAATATAATTAGAGGCTCCCGAAAAGACCATCTGTCATGTGATTGTGGTGATGGGTATCAAAGATGAGAACAGAGAGCAGGAAAAAAATGTGGAAATTAAATCTTGGAATAAAACTGCTCTCTCGCTAAGATCAAACACTGGAAAAATAAAATATATTATGAATAAAATATAAATAAAAATATTATCCGCACAAATGACACTAATACTGCCACAGTTAAGGTAGGCAAACGCATGGGAACACCAAGTGTTTTTGCCCAGAATCCCACCGGGGCCAATTAGGAGAATGTTGAAAAGTCACTTAACTCAAAATAATGGAAATAAACAGTTAACTCAAATATCTAAAGCATGCACTCCAAGCACAGACGGCACCATTAGCCCTGTTCCCAAAAAACCGGGCTATAAAACACCTCTCTGGCAGGTGTGGAGAAGAACACACCAAAAAGGGGTTGGAAAAGGGTTTTTGGGGGGGGGGGGGGGGGGGGTGCAATTCCCAAGAATTTGGGAGACATTTCCATGCAACGTGGTCACCATGGTAACCCCGAGTTCACGCTCCCTGTTGCGATGACACGGCAGCATCAGGACCTCGGAGTCACCCGGGACATCATCTGACAGTTTAATCATAGCCGAATACCACCCGCCGGGCGTGAAATGTCACGTGGAGACCCAAACCGAGAAGCGGGAGGGAAGGAGTCCGACACGAGGACGCGCTTCACGGCGCACTCGTCGTCCCACCAGACGTGGTTATCACGGAGGAAACATTTCCACGAAGCAACACGCTGAGCTTTCCCAACATGACGCTGCGCGTCAATCACAGCGACAACAAACTAGAGCCTTAGCTGATTCCTTAGATGTCTCCTTAGATGTCTCCTCAGATGATTCCTCCGAGCTTCCATCCACCAAGCCGCGTCACTCAGCGGAGCACTTTGGGTGTCCAGCCTCACCAGAGCTGCTTCAGCCATCACTTCCAGCCACTTCTGTAAAGATGCAATTAATTCCAAAGCAGTAGCGTGAAATTAATTTATTGCTTGTAATTAGTTTTCGGCACACTGAGAAAAACAATCTGTCCACGTAGGCTGTTTTTCACCCTCCACCACCACGAGGGGACACTTGGCTCCATCTCAGTTCAGGATGGAGAGCAGCCTCGAGCTGCCAAGAGCTTGGAGCACAGCAACCCCCCCCTTGCACCCCTCCTACCCCCCCACGGGGGGCTTTGGCCGCAGGATTTATAACTTCATATTTAAGTGCAAAACATTGTTGCAATGAAGTAATTCCTTGGGAAACAACAAAGCAGGTCATGTCCAAATGGAATCCCGGTTGGTTTGTGATTCATTGGTGTGATGTCGTGCATGCGACACGTCTTACTCAGATTACAATGTATCGTGACGTTTTCACGACGTGAGAGTCTTGTCTAACATGATTGACGTGTCGCTACTTGCTTGTGACTCGTTTACGTTCTATGAATAAAAGACGTCATGAGTGTCGGCGCCGCTAGGTGGCACTCTTACACCTCTGCTGAGCTTAACACCGGCTCTGGAGAGCTGAGGTGGTGCTTCTCCTGGAAGGTGACTGATTTCTGTCCACACGCTTCCTCTGTCCCTCTCCTGCGTAAGCAACCCGCTGATATCACTCCAATTAAGCTGAAAAGTCCACGACAGCCCCTTTAAAGCGGAGCGATGGGCCCACTGGCGGCGGGCGCCTTCCAGACTGCACTCATGCTCTCAGTCGCCTTCGGAGATATTTGGTAGCCGCTTATCTAACAAGGCTCCTCGCTGCACATCCATGCTCATTAGAAGTGAAGAAAGATCGGAACATGCCGCCACCTCTCAGGGGCACTGATTTATGGGGCGGAAACGGCAAAAAGTGGAAAGGTATTTCTGTTCTACTCTGACAAAAGATGCAATAAGCAGACTATCATCACAACACCTACTCTTGGCAAAATGGCCTGCAAGAGCTTACATGACTGGTTAATTGATTGTGCTTCTTCCCAGAGTTGGCCTCCCTGTCTTTCACACTGTGCTGCTCGCATGAAATAAATAAATCTGTTTGGCAGCGGAAAGCCTCGCTGATACATCTGGGTCTTAATTAGTCAAAAGGATTCAAGAGATAAACAGCCTAAGGAATATGCGTACAAATGCTAAATGAACTCCTGCACGATACCTACATCCGGTCTGAACACGCCTTTGTTGCTCATTTTCTCCTCCATTTCTATTGTGAGATGCAGATACAGCATTTATTTTATTGATCGCTTTCTGAAATCATCCCTTTGTGATGTGAACACTCTCCCATTGATCACAGTATCCCCAAAAGGCTAAAGAGTGGACTGACCCGGCGTCACGCTTTTCCTCCCTGGGTTTAAATGATGTGCCCATGTGGAGGTTACTGAAGAGAATCCATCTTCGTAGTTGGAATCAATGAACTCAAGGACGTGAGTCAAAGAGAGTGCAGTTACTCTGGATTCTTTTGTCTTTTACAATTACATACATTTTTTTTTTTCTTCCTCTGACCCATTTTCCTCCAGTTATTGGCAAAAAGATAAAGAATAAAGTAACAAACATCATGAGATGGGAGCTTGGCTTTCATCTCCTATTGGAACTGTAACATGGGAGGACGAGCAGCAAGCGGCTGCATCCATCGACCTCGCGTTTCACCAACGTACGAGACTCATTACTGCGTCGACTGAGCGGCCGCCGCCGACCACTATCGAGTGTGTTCATCTCCGCAGCCGCACCTCAGAACCACATCAAGCGTCTGTTTAGAGGCCGACGTGGCCGACGCGTCCGCTGGTGTTTGTCGCCACTGGAGAGGAAGGTATCAAACCGAACCCCAGCACACGAACCAAAGGAACGCCCACGTTCATCACTGCTCGTCCAGCACAGACGCCCTGCGGGTGGTTGGAGCTTTGAAGGAACGCTGGGAGGGACGTTCACAGCTTGTCTTGGCGCGAGGTTGAAATGGCGTCTGTACCTGGAGCGTGTCAAGCACACAGCGCATCTGCTTGATGAGTGCACTCGTGTGAAAGAAACACAGGAATGAAAGAATAGAGCGAGATGGCCGCCATCTTGAAAGACGTTCGGAGTCTCCCTCTGACTGGGAGGCTCAGCGTGGCGCCACGTGTTTGCACGGCGGCCTCGTTGCGTTCGTCTGACGGAAACAGGAGGAGGAGGAGGAGGAGGACCTCTGTTCAAAGCGAATCGTACCGTCATGTCTCACAAACTGCTGGTTAACGGCTGAACACGGATCAGCCGAGGGAGAGTTGCACCGAGTGGAAAGGAAGAACCAGACAGGGTCAGACAGGCTTACTTGGGGGAGGGAGGGAGGGAGGGGGGAGTAAACAGGCAGATTAAGAGCATGAAGAAGAGAGGCACAGCGCCTGACGTGCACACGTGAACAGGCGACTTTCAGGGGGGTGTTGAGCATGGAGTCGCCGTGGAGACGGGAGGCTCACTGGGGCTCTTGGTGTGCGTGACCCCCCCACCTTCCCCGTGGTGAAGATCTATAAGACTGATCACCTTCTGTGAGAGCTGCTGCCTCACTGCCGGTCTGCTGGCTAGAGAGAGAGAGAGGGAGAGAGGGAGAGAGACAGAGAGAGAGAGACTTTGGCAGATTACGAAGCGCTCTCTGGCACGCGGGGGTCACGCCCCGGTAACCGCACAGCCTCAGGTCGCGAGCAGCTTAATTGCCCCGCGTGCACATGTGACTCCGTAGGCGCCGAGACAGCATGAGCTAA